TTCTATCTGGCTCCCTGATTGTGACCTGGGGAAGCAGTAGAGGATGGGGACACTGCATCTATGTGGGAGACCCAGAGGAAGCTCCTGGTTTCTGATAGGCTCAGCTCTGGCTGCTGAGGCCACTTGGGGAGTGAACCAGAGGTTGAAACATTTTATCTTTATGTTTCTCTTCTCTCGTTAAAAAAAAAATCTGCCTTTACAATAAAATTGTTTTTGAAAATTCTAAAACATTTTATTTTTATTGGAAATTCAGATATACAGAGAGGAGAGAGAGGGAAAGATCTTCCATCTGCTGATTGACTCCCCAATTGGCCGCAGTGGCCGGAGCCAAGCCAGTCCGAAGTCAGGAGCCAGGATTTCTTCTGGGTCCGCCATGTAGGTGTAGGGTTCCAAGGCCTTGGGCCATCCTCGACTGGTTGCCCAGGCTGTAAGCAGGGAGCTGGATGAGAAGCGGGGCTGCCAGGAAATGAACTGGTGCCCATATGGGATCCCGGCATGTACAAAGCAAAGACTAGCCACTAGACTACTGTGCTGGACCCTCCAATAAAAATTTAAAAATCTTTGGAGAAAAGAAAAGAAAACTCAGTCTCCACATGATGGCTCAGTTGGCTAGCCCCCACCTCTAAGTGCCAGAATGCCATATGACTGCTGGTTCAAAGCAGGGCAAAGGATGGCTCAAGTTCTTGCACCTCTGCACCCATATGGGAGACCCCAAAAACGCTTCTGGCTTTTGGCTTCAAATGAACTCAGCTTTGCTCTGGCCATTTGGGAAGTAGACCAGCAGATAGAAGACCTCTCTGTTTCTTTTTCTCTCTATCTCTGCCTTTCAAATTCAAGTATCTTAAAAGTGTTAAGTCTGGGGCCCAGCACTGTGATTCAGTGGCTAGATCCTTACCTTACTTGTGCCGGGTTCCCACATGGACACTAGTTCATTTTCTGGCTCCCCCACTTGTGATCTAGCTCCCTTCTTGTGGCCTGGGAAGGCAGATAAGGATGGCCCGAACTTTGGGACCCTTCACCCACATGGGAGATCTGGAAGAAGCTCCTGGCTCCTGGCTTTGCATCAGCTCAGCTCTGCTTTGGCCTATTGGGAAGTAAACCAGCGGATAGAAGACCTCTCTCACTGTGTCATTCTCTCTGTAACTCTCTCTGCCTTTCAAATAAAAAAAATTGTAAAAGTGTTGAGTCTAAAACCTAAGAATAGTTTGGCTTATATCATTAGCATTTAAATTGTTTTAAAAATTGATATATTAGAGTAGGGTTGACTTTGTAATGCAGCAGTTTGAATTACTCCTTGTAACTGGTGGCATCCAATATCAGAGTGCCAGTATGAGGTCAAGCTGCTAACCCAGCTTCCTGGGAAGGCAGCTGAATGTGGCCTGGGTGCTCTGGCCAGTGCCACCCACTGGAACGCCAGGATAGGGTTTCTGTCTCCTGGTTTTGAGTTGATCCATACCTAGCTGTCGCCATTTCAGAAGTGAAGCAGCACATAGAAAATTTTCTGTTTCTCCTCTGTCATTCTGTTTTTTAAATAAATAAATAAATGGCATTGGATTACTATATTTAATCTGTAAATCTCCAAATGTATGACTTCCATCATTTCCCATTTATTTGTATTTTTAAAATATTTATTTGTAAGTTGGAGACAGATATTTCGCATCTTCTGTTTCACTCCCCCAGTTCTCCCATCAGGTTGAAGCCAGGAGCCAGGAACTCAGTTTGAGTCTCCCATGTGGGCAGCCAGAGAGAGACTCAACTACTTCAACTGTCATCCGCTGCTCCCCAGCCGGGTACTGGAAGAAAGTTAGGATACTGAGTGGAGTGGGGACTTGGATCCAGGTGCTGGGAATGTGGTGAAGTGTTGTGGTCCTGAGCATGTCATAACCACCGTGTCCAACACTTGCCTTATGTTATTTCTTCTTTGCCCCCCTCTCTTCCCATTTTATTTATGTGAAAGACAACACTGATTTAATGCCCAAATGATCACAGCCGCTGGGGCTGGGCCTGGCTAAAAAGCCAGGGACTCAGTCTCGGTCTCAGCTGGATGACAGGATCCCAGTACTTGGGCCACCTTCCACTGTAGCTTTCCCGGCTACAGTTAGCAGGAAGGCGAATTGAAGTGGGGTCCTGAGCCTCAAACTGACACTGTGGTGTAGGTTGCTGACGTGGCAAACAGCAGTCTGACTTGGAACGCCACTAGAATGCTGGTCTCTACATTGCTTTTCTGGAAAAGTTTTTAAATGTTTTATCTTACATTTTATTTTTTTGTTTATTTTCATTTTATTTGAAAGGCTGAGAGACACAGACTGCTGGGTTCACTCTCCAGGTACTCACAAGTATTATTTTGGAAAAGATCTGTATTTCCTGTATGATCTTTTTGTTTAGTTAGAATACTTACTGGGTTTAACTGGTAGTTACCTGTGTGTGTTTAATCTTTCTCAAAGATTGGTGGTCCTTTGGAGGAAAAGGATAATACGTACAGAGGTTTAATTTGTGCAGCAGGTTCAGTCACCACACATACTGGTATCCCGTAAGAATGCCATTTTGAGACCTTGCTGCTCTGCTTTCAGCCCAGCTCCCTGCTAAGGCTGCTGGGAAAGCAGAAGATGGTCCAAGTATTTGGGCCCCTGTCACTTATGTGGGAGACCTAGATGGAGTTTCAGGTTCCTTCCTTGGGCTTGGCCCCAGCCCTGGCTGTTGTAGTCATTTGGAGAGTGAACCAACAGATGAAAATTTCTGTAACTCTGCCTTTCAAAAAAGTTGCACTTTGGTTGTTGGTTTAGTTTATACATATTGCAGGTACTTTTTGAAGGATCAGCAGGTAATAATGAAACCCCAGAACTCATGTATCTACTCTGGATTAATCTGAAGAAACAATTCGTCAGCTCTGGACGTGGGATTTTTTTTTCTCCTGCCCTCTAGTGATTGAGTTATGAAATGCACACTCCTGTGCTGCTGCCTCTAGCCTTTGAAATATATATATATATATTTGTTTGTTTGTTTTAAGATTTATTTATTTTTATTGGAAAGGCGGATATACAGAGAGGAGGAGAGACAGAGAGGAAGATCTTCTGTCCCATGATTCACTCCCTAAATGACCGCAATGGCCGGAGCTGTGCCAATCCGAAGCCAGGAGTTCCTCCAGGTCTTCCACATGGGTGCAAGATCCCAAGGCTTTGGGCCATCCTCAACTGCTTTCCCAGGCCACAGCAGGGAGCTGGATGGGAAGCAGGGCTGCTGGGATTAGAACTGGCAACCATATGGGATCCTGGTGCATGCAAGGTGAGAACTTTAACCACTAGGCCATTGTGCCGGGCCCTAGACTTATAAATATTAAGCTGTGTAGTTTTGTGTTCTTATCTTAGTTGCTGTGCTTGGAGACTGAGAATGCTGTTCCTAACTAGCTCTGGGATCTCGATTAACCCAGTTTTAATTTTTGCATCTATAGAATAAATGTTCTATCTCTTAGAGGATTGTGGTGCTATGGAAATGAATTAATTGTACAAAACATGAAAACTTACAACTAAAAGAATTTAAAAAAATATTTACTTTTTTTTTTTTGAAAGAGTTATAGAGAGAGAAGAGGAGAGACAGAGAAATCTTGCATCTACTGCTTCACTGCCCAAAAGGCTGCCACAGCCAGAGCTGGACTGGTCTGAAGATGCGAACCAGGCGCTTCTTCTGAGTCTCAGTTGTGGGTGTAGGGGTCCAAGCACTTGATCCATCCTCTGCTGCTTTCCAAAGCCATTAGCAGAGAGCTTGAGCAGAAGTGGAGCAGCCCAAACATGAGCTGGTACCCAAATGGGATGCTGGTGCTGCAGGTGGAGGATTAGCCGACTAGGCCACTACGCTGTTGTCATCCCTCTTTTGTTAAATAAATGAAAAACCACATTCCTATGAGTCTTTGGTTTGGTATTTCCTTTTGGAAGAAGTGTTCAGACAGTTGTTTCAGATTTTTAAAAATAATTTATTTGAAAGGCTCAAGCTCTTGAGATGTTTTTTCTTTCCTAGATACGTTGACATAATTTGATCAGAAGTGGAGCAAATGGGATGCCAGTGTTGCAGGTGGCAGCTAGACCCACTGCTCTATAGTGAGGGCTCAGATTTTGGTTTTAAAGTGCAGATTTTTTTTTTCTTAAGGACCTGGTGATTTATGTGAAGACATGGCAGTGTATTGATTGTGGTGGTCAACATAAGTTATGATGGTTTTCTGTTGAATATTAACAGTACAGTGTTTTTGTATGTTGAAGTGTTTCAATAGTATTGTGCTTTTTATAAAAATAAGGGGTTTTTTTTAGATGGAAATGAAGAGTTGTTATTCTGTAGTTTTATCACACAGAATTAGTTTAAATCACTTATGAATCAGTACAATCACACTGAAATGGAGTTAAGTGAAAGGATAGCTCTTTCACAGGTAGCTCGAGTGTGCGTGTTTGTGACATTCATTTTGTGCAGTTGGACTGTCTAAGGCCTTGGTTGATGTCCATGGTGCTGTTGGTCAATGTGGACTTCCCTTATAAGTGTTCTGTTCCCTCTGTGCTCTTCCGGTTCAGTTCACATCATTCTAGTACTTTTATTCCTACTTTTATAAAAACTGTTGGTTGATTCAACAGGTATAATGACAAAGGGAGAAGTGCCCTTGGGCTCACTACCCAAGTGATTGCAGTGGTCCACGTTGTACCATGTCTGAACTCCATCCACGTATTCTACCTGGGTGGCAGGAACTTAAGTGCTGGTGCCATCTTTAGCTGCGTTTCAGAGCTCATTAGCGGGCAGGTGGATTGGAAGCAGAGTGGCTGAGACTCGGCCTGGGTCCCTCACGTAGGATGTTAGCATTACCGGCAGCAGCTTAATTGACTGTGCTGCACTGCCATCACCGAGCTTTTAAGTTTTTTTTTAAAGAGGGAATCTACTGTCAGATTTTGTTACATCCTAGAAGTAATTATGTCAATTTGAATTATTTAATTTTCATTTCTCATTAAGTATGTGTTTATTCGCAGGTATATTTGCTTACTTAAACTACCATGTTCCTCGCACAAGACGTGAAATCTTGGAGACTCTCATCAAAGGCCTTCAGAGACTGGAATACAGAGGATACGATTCTGCTGGTATTTCTTTAAAAAATGCTTTTTTTTCTTTTTATGACTTTTGAACCTAAACAGAGAATGTTGTCTTTTTGGAGGCTGGGCTTTGTTTGAGTGATGTTTGCTTTTGGTGTTTACTAAATCTAAATTTAAAGAATTTTTGCCTTTTGTTGGTTTAAAGATTTGTCCATGTAATTTCAGCAGTTTATCACCATGTAAGTGGAGCATTGTTTCATATGAGGATCAACTTTTATTTATTTATTTTATTATTATTTTTTAAAGATTTATTTTCATTACAAAGTCAGAAATACAGACAGGAGGAGAGACAGAGAGGAGGAGAGATCTTCCATCTGATGATTCACTCCCCAAGTGAGCGCTACAGCCAGTGCTGTGCCGATCCGAAGCCGGGAACCAGGAACTTCCTCCAGGTCTCCCGCATGGGTGCAGGGTCCCAAAGCTTTGGGTCATCCTCAAATGCTTTTCAGGCTACAAGCAAGGAGCTGGGTGGGAAGTGGAGCTGCCGGGATTAGAACCGGTGCCCACATGGGATTCCAGCGCGTTCAAGGTGAGAACTTTAGCTGCTAGGCCGTGCCGCCGGGCCCTCAACTTTTATTTATTAAGACTGTTACTTTATAAATGTAAAACGCACGGGGCATTTTCATGGTAGAGCATTGAAGACTTTGCTTTATAAATTCCTCTTTCCTGTAAATTTATTTTGTTTTTCTCCATGAATTCCATGCTTTTGGCCTGTCCCCTGTCTTTGTTAAACAAATGAAAACATGTAACATTCCTGCTACTGGGGTTTAGCTCTCTGGCTGCCATGTATCTGGGTTCCCCTGGAGCACCCTTAGAAGACTCAGGAGATTCAGCCTGTGGTTGTATTGGCAGCCACGTTCCACTGCAGTGAGAGGCCAGTGCAGAGTCAGAGCAGGGAAAAGGGGCATGAGGAGTATCCTGGAGTAAGCCAAGCAGGCCCCTCCCAGGGGAGTTCCGCAGGCTGTGTTCAATCCCTCCAGGGAGTCGTGAGGAGATTTGGGAAGCCTTTTCCACAGGTGGTACACAGTAGAGACTCAGGAGAGTCTGGTTGTTGTGTGGGAACCATCTGCTTGGCACCTCTGAAAATTCTCTCCTACCAGAAGAAATGCAGGAGTTCAGCAGAAGCCCTGTTGTTTGCCCAGTGTATCTGCACTGGAAACCAGTCTTACTTAGGGTGGCAAGAACATTCCCAGCATCCAAGTTTCCAGATGCCAGCCTAGGGCCAACCTTGAAAAGAAGCCTTCTAAGGTTAGCGGTGTCGACCTCTGTGTTAACTTTTCTGCACTCTCATTGCCACATGAAGGGCATTTGTCCTCACAGATCTTTCTTAGTCAGTACCTCAGTTTCTTTGCTCTTTAATTTATCTCTTTCACTTTCTCTGGTAGCACATCTTTTCATTCTCTTCCTTTTTAAAATTCTTATTTATTTGAAAGGTAGAGACAGGGCTCATCCATCTATTATTACACTTCCCAGATGCCTACCACAGCTGGGGCTAGGTCAGGCTGAAGCAAGGAAATCTGTGTATCTCATGCGATGGTAGGGACCTCAATACTTGAGCTATCATCTGCTTCTCAAGGTGCTCATTAGCAGAAAGCTGGATGGGAAGTAGAGGAGCTGGGACTTGAACCAGGCATCTGGTATGGAATGGAGGCATCCCAATTGGTGACTAATCCCTGCATCAGGTGCTCATGCTGCTTTCTTCTGCATCAGCTTTGGAGGTTCTACCTACTGCTCTACCTACTGCTGAAATATTGATGTTCAAGATTCTTTTTTAGGCCCAACTTCTGAATTTTGTTTCTTCATGGGTGAACTCTGACTTCATTAATCTCCTGTGTGTTGGTGACTTACTAAGTCTAGATGTATTTCCCAAGTTGCATTCCTTTTCATCTGCTTCTAGAAATTTCTGGATAGACTTTGATATTATAACTTTCCATATTCACCATTAAACTGCCTGTACTGCAGTATTTGCTCACTCCGCAGTATTTTCTTTCCTCTCTCTTTCCTTCTTTCTTTCCTTCTTTCTTTCTTTCTTTCTTTCTCTCTCTCTCTCTTTCCTTCCTTCCTTCCTTTCTTCCTTTTTTCTTCCTTTCTCTCTCTCTCCTTCCTTCCTTCTTTTCTTCCTTTTTTCTTCCTTTCTCTCTCTCTCTCTCTCTTTCGTTCCTTCCTTCCATCCTTCCTTCCCTCCCTCCTTCTTTAAGATTTATTTTATTTTTACTGGAAAGTCAGATATACAGACAGCAGAGACAGAAAAGATTTTTCATTCGTTGATTCTCTCCCCAAGTGGCTGTAATGACCAGAGTTGAGTCAGTTTGAAGCCAGGAGCCCAGAGCCTCTTCTGTGTCTCCCACATGGGTGCAGGGTCCCAAGGCTTTGGTCCATCCTCAACTGCTTTCCCAGGCCACAAACAGGGAGCTGGATGGGAAGTGGGTCCCCTGTGACACGACCTGGCACCCGTATGGGATCCTGATGTCCATCAATGTTTTTTCTATGTCCTTTTGTCAGCTGTCATTCATCAAGTCCTTTGAGCCCAGGAGTATCCCAGCCTTCTGCTGCTTTCTTACTTCATATTCAACTTGGTATATTCAATGTACCCTGTCTGTGTCTTCGCTTCACTGTGTAGTGTAGGCCCTGTGTATTTTTGCTTGACAGCTGGTCTCCCTCTGGTTTCTCCCTTTCAGTCCATCATCTACACTGTTTCCAGGGAGTTGACCAAATGTTTTTGCCATGTTATTTTTCTGCTTGAAACAACTTGGTGCTTTCCCTGTACCTTCTGGGTAACTCTCAAATTTCTAAGCAACTTCAGTAGAATGTCAAGAGCTGTCTTCTGTGACCTTTCCTCCTTGGCCTCTTGTGGTGAGTGCCCATCTTCTGAATTGCTTCATTGTACTCCAATTGCAGAAGTATCCAGAGAGTTTCATTATAACTGTAATCACACTGTATTGCAGTTATGCTTTCCTTGTCTGCATTTTTTTTGGCTGTCTTGGCCTGATCTCATGTATTTTTATTTTTGTTTGCTGACTTTTAGTTTACTTGATTGCAGACAGAGAGAAAGACAAATATTCCAACCACTGATTTACTTCCCCAGATGCTCATATTAGCAAGGACTGGGACAGGCCTAAGTTGGGAATCTAGAATTCAGTAGCAGGAACCCAAGCACTTGAGCCTTACCTATTGTCTCCTAAGGTATACATTAACAAGACACTAGATCATAAGTGGTGGAATCAGGACTCAAACTAAACACTCCCATTTGGGGTGTGGGAGTCAAAGGCAGTGGGCTTAACTGCTGTGCTAAACACTCAGCCTCCCTTGTCTATGTGTTGTCATCATTGTTATATTCTCCCTTTCTTCTTCTTGTTCCCCCTCTTTCTCCTTATTCTTTTATAAGATTGATTTATTTGTTTGGAAGACAGAATGACAGAAGGAGAGAAAAATATCTTCCTTTTGTTGCTTCTCTTCCTAAATGACTGCAACAACCAGACTGGGCCAGGCTGAAGCCAGGAGCTTCATCCGGGTCTCCCACATGGGTGGCAGGGGTCCAAGTAGTTGGGTCATCTTCTATTGCTTTCCCAGTTGCATTAATAAGCAGCTGTGGAGCTGTGGGAAGTGGAGCTGTGGGACTCAGACTACTGCTCTTATGGGATATCAGTGTTAGAGTTGGTAGCTTAACCCACTGTACCACAATGGCAGTGTCTCTTGTCTGTCTTCTTATTAAATATAAAATTTGAGGGTTGCTGCTGTGACAATTGGGTACTGGTTTGAGTCCTGGCTGCACCATCTCAAATCCAGCTCTCTGTTGATGTCTGGGAAAGCAGTGGAGGATGGCTCAAGTGCTTTGGCCTCTGCACCTGCACGGGATACCAAAAGAAGCTCCTTGCTTCAGCCTGGCCCAGTTGTATTCATGTGTCATTTGAGGACTGAATCAGCAGACAGAAGACATTTATCTTTCTCTCTCTGCCTTTTAAAAAATAAACTCTCTTTTTTAAAGAAAATTTGAGGGCAAATGTAGACATTTTTATCTTTGTTAACTGCTGAAGTTCTTCATGTATGCTAGGTTTTCAGTAAATGTTGAATTGATAATTAATTAGATGAAAATACCATTTTTTTAAAACGAAGATTTTGCCTCACATGGGTAATTTTAGTAACAGCCAGTCTCTAAATCTTGCTTTCCTGTCTCATGGCACTTTAGGTGTGGGAGTTGATGGAGGCAATGACAAGGACTGGGAAGCCAACGCCTGTAAAATCCAGCTCATTAAGAAGAAAGGAAAAGTGAAGGCCCTGGATGAAGAAGTCCACAGTAATGTACTTAGGTTGATTTTTGTCCCCCAAACCCTTCTCTCCTTTTTCTACCCTCTCCATCAGATTGTCACCTCCCTGGGAGTCTGTGTTTTGAGGCTCATCTTCAGGATCATGATTCTTAAAAAGTCGAAGCGAGGGAAGAAAAGTGGTGTGTTGCTGTCTGAATTGGTCTTAGTGTATGTGAGCTGTAAAAGTGCCCATGGCTGCCAGCAGAGACTGTTGGCTCAGTATACTGCATGCACTGCAAGGCAAATGTGTGAAAGTGCAGCGGCTGCAGAGCCCCCACTGCAGCCCTCGCAGGTGCTCCGGCTCATAGGTCCCACCTGCTGCCTTCTTCACTTCAGACAGTGGGGAACTTGAGTGTGCAGCCAGTCTGCGTGTTGCCTTGTAGGAAGGTGGTGTGCTTTTCTCTCACTTGGGCACAGGGTGTCCAGAGATTTGCAGGGGTTTCAAAAACATGGACAAATGGTGTGACAATCTAGTATAGGATTTTCCATAGACTTTTGACATCCACCTCCTTCATGTTTGCTTCATTAAACAAAATTTAACTTTTCAGTATTTTGGTCATAATTTTGTGCTTATGAAGTTTGTCATTCGCAAGAAATTGGACATGAACCAATATTTCGAAATAGGCTGATTGAAGAAGTATTTTTAAAATCCTCCACAAAAAACTGGGTTTATATACCAGCTCAAATGGCTGCCCTTGAATAGTTGTAAAGGAATACAGGTAGAAGAGTAAGATGATGGAATTTAGTCATTTTTTTCTTTTTAAGTAACTCATACATTTAGTGGTGTAGTACTCTTTTCATAGTTAGTGTTTATTTGTGTATATTGTGGCTAAGATTAGCTATTGATAAAGCAGATATCCAAATAGCTAGACTTTAAAAACCACGGTATTAATAATCTGTTTACTGTGAGTTCTGTGTCCTGTATCCCTGGCTGATAAGTATAGGCTGTGTAGAAGAAAACAAATAAATTGCTGAGATTCAGAAGAAAGAGATATCTCACACAATGGGGAGACATGAGCTATGTAGGGAATGGCTGCTGATTATATTTGGGCAGTAAAGATGACGTGATAGGAAGGTCTGTAGAGCAACCTGGCTAAAAATAAGAGTGCACATTGTTGATGGAATTACATGTGGTCCTTTATGTCTGCTCTGTTGGTAGACAAGTATGGGAGACTGGAAAAACAGATTGTGATCGGTGTCACCACTTTCTTTCCTCATTTATTTATTTGGAAGTTAGAAGGACAAAGGGAGAGGGGGAGACAGAGAAAGAGATCTTCTATTTGCTGATTCATTCCCCAAATGGTTGCAAAAGCCAGGGGTGGGCCAAGCTAAAACCAGGAGCCAGAAATTCCATCCAGTTCTCCTTTATGAGTAGCAGGAACCCAAGGATTTGAGTGATCTTCCACTGATTTCCTAGTGAGCAGAACAGCCAGGATTTGAACCAGAGCTCTTATGGGATGCCTGCATTATAGATAGTGACTAGTCTGCTTTGCTATAGTGGTGACCTCAGCATCACCATTACAAAAAAATCATCTTGGGACTGGTTGTGTGGCTTAACAGTTAAACTGCACCTGCAGTATCTGCGTCCTTTGTGGACACCAGTTCAAGTCCCAGCTGCTCTGTTTTTTTAAAAAGGCTAATCTCTCTCTCTTTTTAAAAAAATATTTATTTACTTTTATTGGAAAGTCAAATTTACAGAGAGAAGAAGAGACAGAGAGAAAGAGCTTCCATTTGCTGGTTCACTCCCCAAGTGGCCACAATGGCTGGAGCTGAGCTGATCTGAATCTAGGAGCCAGGAACTTCTTCCAGGTCTTCCACCTGGGTTGCAGGGTCTCAAGGATTTAGGCCATCTTTTGCTGCTTTCCCAGGCCACAAGCAAGGAGCTGGATGGGAAAGTGGAGCAGCTGAGACATAAACTGGTGACCATATGGGATCCTGAGACTTGAAGGGAAAGGATTAGCCAATGAGACATTGCACCAGTGTCTGCCAAAAATCCTCTTAATGCTTTGGATTCAAAATGATAAGGCAGGTTATTGCTTCTGTAGAACTTGAATTCTAGTGGAAACCAGACTGACAGTATGAATATTTTAAGGTGATTTTAATCTTGGGCTCTGGTGTCAACCTGTCTTGGGTTCTAACCTATTAGGTATAACCTAATAACTTTGACTGTTAGCTGTGTGATTCAGTGATCTCTTTGAACTGTTCCTTGCCTGTAAAGTGAGAATAGTAGTACTCACCTCAGAGAGTGTTGTGAGGATTCAGTAATAAAATGTCTGTTAATATAGCAGCTGTCTTTTTATGTCCTAAGGGCTCAGCAGACATAGTCTGCCTGATGGAATTTACTGTCTAGTATGGTGTTAGGTAGTGATTAGTACTGTAAAGAAGTATGGTAGAAGTAGCGTTTGAGCAAACACTGTAATTAGAGAGGACTCTAGGTGGAAGGTTGCCAAACACAAAGACCCAGTGGAAGCTTAGCCTGTTTATGGTGGAATTAGTGGGGTTAGAATACAATGAGGGCAGGGAAATTGGAGAAGATGAGGCAATAGAGGTGTTGGGGGACTGGATCATGAAGGTGCTTTAGGATAGTGGATTTTACCAAATGTATCCTAGGAAGCCATTCAAAGGTTTTACATAGGGGAATTGTCTGGTGTAACTTTTGTTTTGAAAGGATCACTGTGCTTGGTGTATGAAGTCTACATTGCAGGCAGACCAGCTAGGATTCTGTTGAAATAGTCCAGTTTGGAGATGGTAGTGGCTTGGGCCGCAATAAGAGTGGTAAGAAGTCCTTGATATCTGGACCAAGGTAATCTTCTTGTAGATGGAATGGCAAGAAGTCTGTGATACCTGGCCTGAAGTTATTGTGTGTGTCTGTGTATGTGTGTGTGTGTGAAAGGTTTATTGCCAGCTTTAGAAATAGTTTGTGAAGAGGAGTGCTGATGAGGTTGGATATGTGGGTGGAGACCATATGGTAAAGGGCCTCATCTGCCAGGAAAAGCTGTTGGAGCTTTTATCTTGTGGGGGGAGAAAAAAGGAATGGATCTCAGAGTGCATGTTAGAATGTGAGAATCTTTTTATAAATCCTTATGACCAGATTTAGGATGTGCAGCTGCGGTTACAGACCACTTTCATAGGCAATGGAAATCTAGTCAAGGATTTTAAGCATTGTTTCCTAGTTCACCTTGTGTTTTAGGATGGCTTCTGATTGACCAGTATATTCACAAAGTACTAAAATGTATGGACTTTACTGTTCAGATGTTTGAACAGTTTGCCATTTATTTAGACTTAATTCTGACAAACCTTGTTAGCTGGTTTTAGAAGGAGGGCATTACTGTTTTAAAAACTAGAGCTAAGCTGAGCCAAAGCCAGGAGCCAGGAGCCAGGAACTTCTTCTGGGTTTCCGATGCAGGTGCAGAGTCCCAAGACTTTGGGCCATCCTCTGTTGCTTTCCCAGGCCACAAGCAGGGAGCTGGATGGAAGTGTAACAGCTGGGATACAAACTTTCACCCATATGGGATCCCGGCTCATGCAAAGCAATGGCTTTAGCCACTAGGCCCCCACACCAGGCCAAGCTGCCACCCCCACTTTTTTTTTTCTCACTGTGAAACAAACAAGAAGAGATGACATATAGGAAAAAGAAATTGAAAATCAGTTGCTCTTCAAGATAAAGGAACACTTGCCAGTAACTTCAGTAACTTCCCAGTAACTTTAGGTGTTCACAGTGTCATTTTTTTTTGAAGAGCATGTGGGTTTTTGGAAATTAACCTTAATTGTGCCTTATGTTGTAAAATGTGTTACAGTCACAGGAGACAGAAGAAATTTCAGTCAATGTTTTGTAACATTGAGAAAATGAATTTATTTTTGCCTACTATAGTAATTTTTTTTCATGGCAAGAATCAAATACAGATTTAAAAAATTATATTACTCTGTCCTTCACTCTTAAGGTTTCAAACCTCCAGGAAAGTTGAAAGCATCCTGTATTAATAACCAGCATACACTTCGTCTGTCTTTACCAGTTGTTAATTTATCACATTTAAAGCAAGTTTATGCTCTTTGTATACAGTGTTTTGGTTGTTATGAAACCATTTGCTTATAAATAATTCACCAACATTAACTCCTGAACTTTTTAACCATTTTGAACATGATTGATTGTATGTGTTAGTACTTGTGTATTCCAAGTGAGCAGCATTCTAATAATTTAAGGAAAAATTATGACACATATAGGGTTTGGTATTATTTGGGGTTTCAGGCATTCTTAGGGATCTTGGAATATGTCCATTATGGGAAAAGATAGAGTTATTGTACTTATATTTAAATATAGCTTAAAGCATGATTTACATTTGGAATGTTTTATTTTATCTTCCCAGAACAACAGGATATTGATTTGGATATCGAATTTGATGTGCACCTTGGAATAGCTCATACCCGTTGGGCAACACATGGAGAACCCAGTCCTGTCAATAGCCACCCCCAGCGTTCTGATAAAAATAATGGTATGCATAGATTCTGCATGTTGTAGAATGATTGACGAGGGCTGGGACTAAAGAACAGGGAATGTACTCTTAAGTTTCATTATCTTAACATCTCTATACTACAATGCCTGCCCCTGCTGTGGGCATGTGAAATGGGGATGGAAAATTTGTTTGTTTGTTTTTTTACCTTTGTCTTTCTCTGCTTATGAAATAAATTGACATAAGTTTAAAACTTTAAGAACAAGCAAACACATATGTTTGAATATATGTAATGTGTTATTTTCCCTTTTTGAGTTTTCTGAAAGATTTTTTTTTGAAAGAGAGTGAGAGAACAAACATGAGTACAAGTGCTGCCATTTGATGGTTTACTCCTTGACTGGCTGTATTAACACACTGGGGCTGGTCCAGCCTGAAGCCAGGCACCTGGAACTCTGACCAGGTCTCCAACATGGGTGCAGGGGCCCAAGCACTTAAGCCATTTTCCACTGTTGTGCCAGCCACATTAGTGGGAAGCTGGGTCAGAAGTGGAACAGTCAGGACTTGAACTGGCATTCATTGGATGTTGGTAGTGCAGGTGGCAGCTTAACTCTTTACAACAGCCCCTAAGTAAGAACATTTTTGACAACTTACTGTCAGTTTGCATTTAGTACTAATTTTTTCATGAGTTTCTGAGCTTTAAACTAATCTGAAGTGGCAGTTTTGTGTTTTGTATATATATTCATTGATTGCAAATAATAGCACTATCATCTCTTGATTATCCATTTTTGTATTTTTCAAAGTAATTATAAAGGGTGAAAATTATTCTATGATCTTATTCATTTTTCTTGGAAGTATAGTTAACTTCATTTATTTGATGTTTTAGGAATTAGGGGATCTTAGGCAAGGGAATTTTTAAACTGAATAATGGGCTTTTCCTAGTAAATGCCTTCAACTTCAGTATTTTTTCTTTTATTAAAGATGTATTTATTTATTTGAAAGTGAGAGTTACAGAGTGAGGAGAGAGGGAGAAAGAGATATCTTTCATCTGCCGCTTGACCCCAAATGGCTGCAGTGTCCAGGACTGGCCCAGCTTGAAGCAAGCAGTTTCGTCCGACTCTCCTACATAGAAACCAGTGCCCAAGCACTTGGGCCACATTCTTCTGCTTTTTCTAGGCAATTAGCAGACGCTGGACTGGAAATAGAGCAGCCAGTACACTCACCAGCTCTCATAGACGATGCCAACATCACAGGTTGCTGCTAAACCTGCTGCCACCATGCTGGCCTCCCCTTTAGTGTGTTGGAGGATCATTGTTTTAGTTCAACAGGCCTCTTTTAGGCTGATATTCAGGAATGTGTGAACAGAGAAATGATATAGATAGTAATTTATTTTAACTCTTTCAGTTTGCAAATGAAGAATCAGGCCCTGTAAGGATGCTCCTTCCATGGGATGACTTGGAGTTAGTAGCTTAACCACAGCCGAAACTGGTGTCTCTGGACTGACTTGGTGCACACCTTCTGGCCCTGTGGGCTTGTGCAGAGCTGCATAAACAGAGTTGTTGGTCTAGCTGTTGATAACCTCATGATGAGAAATATACAATACATGATTATACCTGCAAGTTTATAGCTCATTGCTTATTTTCACCTGAGAAAAATCTATTCATAGTAGTAGTGATTTTTTGCATTTAGTGGACTCTTAATGTTTTATCAATATTTTTATCTGTTTCAGAATTTATTGTTATTCATAATGGAATCATCACTAACTACAAAGACTTGAAAAAGTTTTTGGTGAGTAAAGTGATCTCAAGACAGTGGTCCTTACATATATACTGCTAATGTGAGTGCTGAGCTTGTTGGCTGGAATGTGCAGCGCCATCTAACTACAATCAAGTGATTCCTGAGACAGCCCTGTGACTGTAGTGGTTTGTTAGACTTTTCTTTAACAGTAGGACAATTCTTTCTCACATGGAAAGACAATCATTCTTTGACTTAATGATTATAAATGACTAACACCCAGACAAAATGGGACATCCGTTGCATTCTGAAGACACTGCTTGTCAGTTTTTAATCTCTAAGATTTATAAGAAGAATGGAGACAGAGTCAGGGAAGGTTCTGGGTCCTTCTTGTACTGTAGCTGTGACCTGTACAGTCAGGGAAATAAGTAGTGGTGGCTCCACGAGTGCCTCCCAAGGGCTGCTGCAGGGGAACTTTGTGCAGAGATGAGAACATTGTGCTTCTTGGCTGGTCTGTGCAGTAGCCATTGCCACAGGGACAGTTATGTTAGTATGACTGAGGGACTGGATCATTTAATATTAATTGAATAGACACCCATAGTTAATAGATATATCATTGGGTACTAAATTATTATCAAAGAAAAATAATTATATTCATTATGGAATTCATGCTTTGTGTCTTACCTCTTATTTTAGTAATTTAAAATCCATTCATATGTGGCATACATAGATTTATATGAGTTTTATTTATTTGAAAGAGTTAGATCTTCTATGTACTGGTTCTCTTCCCAAATGGCTGCTACAGCTGAGGCTGGGCCAGGCTGAAGTGGGAGCCTGGAACTCCATCTGTGTTTTCCACATGGGTGTCAGGGGCCATCTTCCTCTGTTTTCCCAGATGCCTTAGTCCACTGTGCCAGAATGGCAGCCCTGATTTATGTGAGCCTTTTGTTTCATAGAATGCCATACTAAATCAGGGGTGGCCTTAGTTTTGGACAGTGGATGATGGGATATGGCATTCAAAAAGTAATAGAAACTACTGAGTTTTAAGGGGAAAAGTTGTTTTTGGAAAATATTTGGATACTGTGACTGTTTCCTTAAACATTTTTTTCTTTCTTTCTGCTTACAGGAGAGCAAAGGCTATGACTTTGAATCTGAAACAGACACAGAGACAATCGCCAAGCTTGTTAAGTATATGTATGACAATCGGGAAAGTCAAGATACCAGTTTTACTACCCTCGTGGAGAGAGTTATCCAACAATTGGTATTAAACTACGCTTTAAAAAAAGATTTGTTTATTTATTTATTTATTTATTTATTTATTTATATTGGAAAGGCCGGTACACAGAGAGGAGATACAGAGAGAAAGATCTATCCGCTGGTACACTCCCCAAGTGGCCACAACAGCTAGAGCTGTAGTGGTTTATTGGACTTTGTTAACAGTAGAACAGTTTTTTCTGCCGTTGAGTTGTAGTGCCCCAAGGCCTTGGACCATCCTCTACTATTCCCCCAAGCCACAAGCAGGAAATGGAGCAGCTTGAGTACTAACTGGCACATGCAAGGCGAGAATTTTAGCCACTAGACTGTCATGCTGAGCCCTGAACTACACTTTTAAATATAATTACTCCAGTGTTAATTATGACATTTTTATTAAAATTAAGTTTCCTAAGCAGGGGTTATGCTAATTTATTGAGTATTTCTAGTTTTCCTTTTTCATATATACAATGATTCAACTTGAACCCAGTTATTATATAACTTTCTCAGATGCAATTAAAAGTCTACTAATTTCACTGTAATTTAGTGTCATGAGAAGTAATCCAAATTCCAAGTTTATCTAAAAACATTCATGATGCAATAAATTCCTGTATACCACATGTGAACATCACACCGAGCATGCAGTGCAGGATTCATCACTCTCTTGCTTTCTGTTCCACTCTTGTTGTCAACCACTTTGCACAAGGATGACATCAGTGAATTCAGTCTTTATTCTGGGATAATGCCTGTTTGTGTCTGAATCATTCTTAACTGCTTGTTTTCCTTCTTGGTGACTCCTTGACCCAGAAAAAATATTTCTGGGCCCGGCGCGGTGGCGCAAGTGGTTAAGTCCTCGCCTTGCACGCCCGGGATCCCATATGGGCGCCGGTTCTAATCCCGGCAGCCCCGCTTCCCTTCCAGCTCCCTGCCTGTGGCCTGGGAAAGCAGTCGAGGACGGCCCAAAGCTTTGGGACCCTGCACCCGCGTGGGAGACCCGGAAGAGGCTCCTGGCTTCGGACCGGCATAGTATCGGCCCGTTGCGGCTCACTTGGGGAGTGAATCATCTGACGGAAGATCTTCCTCTCTGTCTCTCCTCTCTGTATATCCGCCTTTCCAATAAAAAAAAAAAAAAAAAAAAATATTTCTATAGATAAGTGTTTTCCATTCAAGAGGAAAATAACATATTCATTCCATCTCAGTTTCCCTAGTTAAGATTGAAGACATTAAAGATCCACAGTAGTCCAAATTCATTCCCATCCTCACTCATAATTAGTTTTCTTAATATTCTTTTGTAATGTTTATTTGTTTTGGAAGGTAGAGCCACAAAGAGTGAGAGGGTGATTGCATGTGTGTTGGAGGTGTGGGGAGTGACCTTTCATCTGCTAGTTCACTCCTCAAATAATTACAGCAGCTAGGCTGTGCCAAGCCAAAGCCAGGAGCTGGAACACCATCTGGGTCTCCCCCATGGTTGGCAGGGTCCCAAGTACTTCGAAGAGCCAATGTCTGCTGCCTCCTAGGGTACACGAGTAGGAGACTGGATTAGAAATGGAGTAGTGAAGACTCAAGCCAGATACTCTGATACAAGATGCCTGATGTACTGCAATGCTGACCTCATAACTTTCCCATTTGAAAGCCCTTTACTTCCTACTAAGGTCCAGCCTTTAACTCCTGTGTGCACACCAGTCTTTATGCTGGATGAAGCAAAAGGTATTAGGGTACTAAATAATGTAAAGGTTGGTTCCGCCTGTTTAGCTGAGATAGAGTGATTTTCCAACGTTTTTAGTTGTTACCTGGCCTTTCCCTCCACTTATTCTGTATTCTAATATATATCTTATGGTGGTTCTTTTTTACCTCATTTTCCCCTTTTACTCATTCTTGATTTCCTTAGGCCTTGTCCTTTAGGAAGTTGGGTTGATGGAGTTGTATGATGTGCTTAGTTGTATGATGTGTTTAGTTGTTTAGCATATTTCTGATGTCAAGGTCAACAAGAATGGAATGTCACAGTACCATGTCACTATAAGAGCAAAGAATGAGTTTTGAATATTGGATATTACTCTTGGGAGCTTTACTAGTTCTATAACTAGTTAGTTGTCTTAAGAGATATGCTGTGACTACTGAGGAATCTTGGTAACATGTATGTTGCCTGTGTCCCATACTGCTTATTCTGCTGCTGCATTATTTTTTAAAGATTTATTTATTTTTATTTGAAAGGGAGATTTACATAGAGAAAGGAGTGAAAGAGAGAGATCTTTGATCCACTAGTTCACTCCCCATCTGGCCACAATGGCTGCAGCTGAGCTGGTCCAAAGTCAGGAGTTTCTTTCCAGGTCTCTCACATGGGTGCAGAGGCCCAAGGACTTGAGCCATCCTCCGTTGCTTTCCCCAGTTATAGGTAGGGAGCTAATTCAGAAGTAGAACAGTTGTGATTTGAACTGGTGCCCATTTGGGATGCTGACACACAGATAGAAGATTAGCTTGTTATGGCACCACACTGCTCTCTGCTCTGGTTCTGATGCATACTTTATGGGACAGTTCAAGTACTTGTGCTGCTGCCACTTAGGTGAGAGACTTGGATAAAGTTTGGGTTTCATGGCTTTAGTCCAAGTCCAGCCCTAGCTGTTGGGTCCACTTGGGAGTGAGCTGGTAGCTCAGAGACCTTTCTTGCTCTCTCTTCCCCCTCTCTCAGTTTGATTCTCTTTCACTCTCACTCCTACTGTCCTTTTTCAAATAAGTAAGAATACATAGGCTTTTTAAAAAAAGTGGTTTTTTTTTTTTTAGCTATTACTTGTTGAGCATCTTTGTATTTTGAGTTGGCTTGGTTTAAAAAAGTGGGTGTTTTAGTTGTTTAGAAGCTAGTGCAGAAGAGTAAACGAAAAGATTCTTTGCTGAAGCAAGTGTTTTCAACATTTCATGTTTGGCAATTATAATAAACATTGTTAATGCCTTTTTATCTCTCCATAGGAAGGTGCTTTTGCGCTTGTATTTAAAAGTGTTCATTTTCCTGGACAAGCAGTTGGCACAAGGTACATATACATCTAATAATAAGTAAAACTTACATATTTCTGAAACATTTAAGCCCCAAGTTTATTTTGTGTAGACTTTAGAGCATGAACCTTTTCTGTAAAAGGTCTGCCTTGGGCATATCTGTGTGACTACATTTATTTTTCAATGCTTCCGTCCAACAGGATGCCTGAATAAAGCAGATCCGTTTGGGCATTTACAATTGACCTTTTGTCTCTGGTAGAGGTCATCATGGTTATTTTGTGAAATTTGCTTATTACATATTTTTGTATTTCAGTCCCTAAAACATTACCTTTGTATTTTTTTGAAATACGTTTTGGGCAGATTTCTAGAAAGTCATGACATCACTACTTTTGCTAGGGTGTTTGGGCCAGATTGTGAAGTCCTTTGTAGAGTGGTGAGGCTCCTTAAGGTTTGGTAAGAAAGACACTGATGGCTTGAGGGTAAGGTACTAAACATTTATGTAATGGTACTCTGTGCACAATTGAGAGTCAAGTTCCATTTAGTGTTAAAAAGAAAACTTTAAAAACTGTTGTATACAGGGATGGGCAAAGTTTTCCTGAATAGTAAATATTTTAGGCTGTCTGTGTGCCATTTAACTTCTGTGATGATTTCTCTGCTCAGCTCCTACAATGTGACAGCAGCTGTAGAACACAGGTAGAAGAATGATTATGGTCTATTGCAATAAAAAATGATTGGATACAATTTTAATATTTTGCTTCAAAGGGACAATAACAGTAGAAGTCCATTTACAAAAATGGAATGTCTGTCCTGTAGCTCTTCGTTTAATATAAGCCCATACTTCTGTGTAACTATAGTTGAGTTTGGAAGTTTTTTTTTTAAGATTTATTAGTGTTTTTTTTTAAGATTTTTTTTTTTTTTTGGAAAGTCAGATATACAGAGAAGAGGAGAGACAGAGAGGAAGATCTTCCTTACTCCCAAGGGGCCGCAATGGCTGGAGCTGAGCCAGTTCGAAGCTAGGAGCCTGGAGCTTCTTTGGATCTCCCACGCACGTGCAGGAGCCTAAGGCTTTGGGCTGTCCTTGACTGCTTTCCCAGGCCTGTAGCAAAGAGCTGGATGGGAAGTGGGACTGTTGGGATTAAAACCTCTGTCCATATGGGATCGCAGTGCATTCAAAGTGAGGACTTTAGCTGTTAGGCTACCACACTGGGCCTGGTTTATTAGTTTTTATTTATTTGAAAAGCAGAACAACAGAAAGAGAAGATATTGATACTAAGCATTGGATTTTTTTTTTCTAATTGTATCCTCTACCTAGTCAGCCGTAATTCTAGAGTCATTTTTTAGCCTATTGAGAAGTTTTGGTTGTGTGTACAAGGGTGTTTATTGAATTGGGTCTAACACCCAAATACCAATAGCATCCAAGGCTAAGCCTGGACAAAGCCAGGCTCCCAAAACTCAGATGGGGGTCTCCCACATGTCTGGCAGGTGCCTGCACATCTCCTCTATAGTCTCTGCTGCCATGGTATGAAGCTGGATCTGAATTCAAACCAGAACTCCAGCTTGGGACATGGGTGTCCTAAACAGTGTGCTCACTTGCTTTGCCACAGTGGCCTACCCTGAAAAATTTAACCATTATTTGAAGAAGGTTGGCTCATTAAATTTCAGGTTTTACAGCTAGCATATTATTTATAAAAATTTAATTTTTTTTCAAAATTAATTTTGATTAATATTGTATTTACAGGCGAGGTAGCCCTCTGCTGATTGGTGTCCGGAGTGAACATAAACTTTCCACCGATCACATTCCAATACTCTACAGAACAGGTAAAGCAACTGCTACATCATGCGATGGGGAACATGTATTACTTGAGTGCAGTGGATATAAAGATGTATTACCCTTATGTTGAAATAAATGTCCCTTTGATCAGATCCTGGAACATATATAGTTATGTGTTTTTGTGAGTTCTCTGACAAGTAGAATTTTTTTTCTGTTGTATATCTTTAGCTAGGACTCAGATTGGATCAAAATACTCACGGTGGGGATCACAGGGCGAAAGAGGTGGGAAATGCACTGTGCATGGATGGGGAGGAGCCTTCTTTTGTTTGTTCTTTACTAATTCTTGGAGTGAATGAATGTGCTGGGCCTCTAAAAATATGCTTATTTTTATGGGGAAATATATTTTCACATTATTTTTCTAATTTGCAGAGTACATTTTGTCTGTCTGCTTTTGCCATTTAGGAAACTGCTTTTAATTTGTTTCATTAAAATCTCAGATTTGAAAAGGTAGTTGAAGTTGTAAAGTTTGTTTTACCTTGTTTTAACATCTGTAGAATAGATGCTGAGGTGAGCAAAACAGCATTGTATGCCAGGCTATCGTAGATTGCGCTAAACGGTAGTTGAAGCATTTAGGTTAACTTAACTGAAAGATATTTAAGTAGTCTTGATTTTATGCATGACATTTTATGTTGGATATAACACTAACATCTTGATTGGCTTTGAATTTGAAGTCATTGTGTTTATTGTTCATTTTTGATGTTTCTTTTTTAATAGAACTTTCATCTATACAAATTCTGGATCATTTTATTAAAATCACATAAAAAAAGAAAACAGCGGAGTGCTCTGTTTACTTATACTAAAAGCTTTTCATTTAATGGACAGAGCAATAGGTTCAGATAATTGAAGCTTATATTAATATGTAGTTCTTAGTTTCTTGAAAAATACTTAGCAAAGAGCTTTAAACCTGTTTATGTTTGGATTTTGATTGCTTACATCATTTTATCCAGAGCAGAAGGTTATTTTCATAGATAGAATTTGTATCCACAGGTCCAGATTTCTGCGAACAATTCTGCTCATATTCATATTACTTTTCATGTTACCTTGTGTTCTCTTTGGCCGCTTTTAAAAAAAATGGAAAAATACTAGGATCTTAAGAAATTAGAAGGAACTATGTAAAGATCATCAAAAATGAAAAGGAAAATTAAAAGAAAAAAGAAAAGCTGTCAGTGTTAGTTTTTGAGAAGGAGGGATTGTGTTCTTAATTTTTTTAGCTCTTACTGTCTAGGGAATGTAGAGCCCAATGAAACCTGCTTTAGAAAGAACAGCCTCTGTAAAGCAGAGAACACTGGAGTGGCTTCCACGCTTCTGTTAGCTTTTCCAGATGTGACCACTGACCAAATAAAAGTCTACTTTGCATCTTTGTGATGGCTGATTCCACTTAGGTCAAATCAAATGAAGGAGGCCATATTTAGGATTATATTTTATAGATTATAAGTATTGTATAGGTGTCAGTGGTGTTCACTTTAATAACGTTATACTCTAAAAATATTTTAATTAAATATATTTTGTGCTTTGAAGAATTCAATTTTTTGTGAAACTCAAAACCAATTAGGACTTTTTTATGATCAAAACTACTTCAATTTATTTTTTTTTTGTTTGCTTTTAATTCCCTTTTTCAAAGACAGTAAAATTTATTTATTCTGAGAGGCAAAGAGGAAAGCAAGGGTACCTTCTGCTGGTTCATTCTTTCAGATGCCCGCACTGACCTTGGGTGGGCCTCGGGAGGGGCTGAAGGAACAGCAGGAACTCAGTCCTCACGTCCCACTTGGGAGCCAGGACCCAGTCATTTGAGCCATCCCCTCTGTCTGCTGGAGTGGGCCTTGGTGGGAGGCGGAGGCAGGAGCAAAGCTGGGTATTGAACCCTTGGGCACTCTGATAAGATGCAGAACCATCCTAGCCACCCACTTACCAAATTGACTCTTCCAGTTTTTAATTTTCGTTAGTTTTTTTTAAACAAAAATAGTTACGTAGCCACCATCTCAACCAAGATATGTAACAGTTCCACTCCCAAGAAAGCTCCCTGAAACTTCTCTTTGTAATCATTCCCTTGACCTATTGCCAACCCAGGCAAATACTAAACTGTGATATTTCTGTAGTGTCACCCTTTTGAGGATGTCATCTTATACTTATTTTTTTTTAAGATTTTTAATTTTTATTGTAAAATCAGATATACAGAGAGAGGAGAGACAGAGAGGAAGATCTTCTGTCCGATGATTCATTCCCCAAGTGGCCACAATGGCCAGAGCTGAGCTGATCCAAAGCCAGGAGCCAGAAGCTTCCTGTTCTGCCCTGTAGATACAAGGTCCCAAGGCTTTGGGCCATCCTCAGCTGCTTTCCCAGGCCACAAGCAGGGAGCTGGGTGGGAAGTGGGGCTGCTGGTGTTAGAACCGGCACCCATATGGGATACCGACATGTGCAGGGCAAGGGCTTTAGCTGCTAGGCTACCACCCAGGCCCAACCTTACACTTATGTTATAAAGTTTGGAATTTACTCAGCCATTGAATCTAGATGGGAAAAACTTTTTGTTCTTATACCCAAAATATACCAGATAAGTTCAAATGATAGAGAACTTTAGATGCATATTTCTAAGAATTACTGTTACCAAGTCCTCACTTAATGCATTTTAGAGGATAGTTACAGTGTTGAATTTTTGTTAATAGATTCATAATATTCTCTGGCAATTGTGTCCATAGACTATAAGGTCTGCCTGTGCTGGCTTTAGAATAAGGTGCTTTATCTTTGGAATATTCATACAGTCTTAACAGGTTTTTTTTCCTATAAAAATATTTGATTAATTTAACAAAATTCAGTATGCTTTCCAGGTGTGATGACAGATTATAAAACAGAATTGACAGAATTTTGAAATGCTAAAATTAAAAATATATTGCAGCACAAGTTCAGCCAAATAATCTTTGACAAAAAAAAAAAACAGATGACAATGGAAGGTCTCTTCAATATCTGAAAAAGATATTATTGCAAAAGGACTACACTTAATTCTAGCTTCCAAGAAGTATAAGGAAACATACCTTTTAGAAAGCAGATGTTCCTGATTTATAATATTCACTGTGTCTAGCTGTTAGTATCACATGATATACTGTTATAAAAATAGTATCTTAGTTTTGTTTTAGAATCAGAATTAGTGTATTGTACAACTTCAGTTGTCATGCTGACTTGCTGTAAAAAGATCTAGAAACATTTTGTTACATGATATTAAAGTTAATTTTCACTGGTCTTTGTTTTCTTGCCCAATTTTGATATTTTAAATGTATTTTATGTGATGAGTACAGATCTATCAACTTACAGGTTAGTCAGTCACATTTTACATAAAGCTACATTAAGATGATCTGTATGGGGCAGCAGGGTGGCACTGCAAAGCTACCACTTGGCAGTTTGAATCCTTGCTATTGTGCTTCCTGTCCAGCTTCCTGCCAAGGCACCTGGGAAGGCAGCGAATGAGGGCTCACATACCCAGTCCCCGACAGCCTGTTAGATTTGGAGGGCATTCTTGGCTCCTGGCTTCACCCTGGCTCAGCTTTGCTGTTGTGATCATTTGGGGCACAAACCAGTAGACCTATCTCTTTTTCTCTCTTTGTCTCCATTGCTCTGCCTTTGAAATAAATAAATAATCTTTTAAAAATTGAAAAGAAAAATTAGTCTATATCTAATGAAAAATAATATCCGCAAAATATTTAACTTTTGTCTGGAAACAAAATATTACACAGGAAAGTTTTTAATGAACAATGTAGCACTGTTATCTGCCATGCACTCTTTGATAGTAGCTGTTTCACTCTTTCTGTCTGTTTTTCTTGGCTTATTGCATGGAAATAAGGTAACTTTTCTGGCATTTCAAAGTTGCTATAATTATTTTGTGTTGCTATGGGTTTTTTTTTGGTTAGTTTTTTAAAAGTTATATGTATTTCTATATTTATATCTTCTGTTTGCTGATTCATGTCTCAACTGTACGCTATAGGCAAAGACAAGAAAGGAAGCTGTAATCTCTCTCGTGTGGACAGCACAACTTGCCTTTTCCCTGTTGAAGAAAAAGCGGTGGAATATTACTTTGCTTCTGATGCAAGGTGAGCCTCCTTAGTGGATGCAAAGAGAAGTTATAGCAAAAACTTCTCATGCTGCAGGGACCAGTGAGTCATCTGATATAAATCAAGTCATAGATTTGCTGTGTAATAGGACTTTCCAAACTAAGATTAATCAAAACTGTTGGAGATGAACTAGAACACTTTTTCTCTTATCTTAAATCACGTAGGTCAGTTTACTAAGAATATACCCACCGAGAGCCTTTTCTGTTTTGGATATTTTTTTTTTGTCAAGATTTCTTTTTATTGGAAAGGCAGGTTTACAGAGAAGGAGATAGAAAGATCTTCCGTCTGTTGTTTCACTCCCCAAGTGGCCTCAGTGGTCAGAGCTGAGCCTATCTGAAGCACAGCCAGGAGCATCTTCTAGGACTCCAGCACGGGTGCGGTGCCCCAAGGCTCTGGGCAGTCATCTTCTTTTCCAGGCAGGGAGCTGGATGGAGAGTGGAACAGCCAGGATACGAACTGGTGTCCATATGGGATCCCAGGGCATGCTAGGTGAGGATTTGGCCACTGAGCCATCGTGCTGTGCCCTCCAGTTTTGGTTTATGTACATTAGGGCTCTTGTTATTTTTTCCTCTTTCAAGAATCTCACTAGGTTTTGCAGGGAGGAGAGATTACAGTTGTAGAATAGAAGATTTAATATTCTGCAAACTATAGTACCCAGTAAATTTTTTTAGCTCTGGGTTGACTTTATGCAGGTTCAGTGAGGTAGTCAGCTGTGGTCTGGTAATACTAAATATAAAGTTCCAGGATCACTTAATATATCTTAGTAGAAGCTGACAAAGGTAGGTGGCTAGAGATAGGGCGGATAATGTATAGCAAAATAAAATCAGTTTGGAATAAAAATTCTCAATATTTTGTAGTATAGAAGGGTGACTATGTAAGCTATTAAATGTTTCACAAAGATTAATAAGTGGGACGGGTCACTGCCTGTGATGCTGACATCCCATATGGGTGAGTCCTGGCTGCTACCCTTCCAATCTAGCCCCTAAATGATGAGCAGAAGGTGATTCAGCTGCTTGAGCCTCTGTGAGCCCAGAAAAGGCTCCTGGGGCCAGGCTTCCCAGCCTGTGCAATTGTGGCTGTTTGGGGAGTGAGCCAGCTGATGGAATAATCTCTGTCTGTCTCTTTCTGTGTGTCTGTCTCTGTAACTCTGCCTTTTAGATAAAATATATGAGTGTTAATAAAAAAAAATAGTGAATTAAAATGAGGGATTGAAAGCTTCAATCCAAAGAAATAACAAATATCTGAGGAGATGCAACTACTAATTATGCTGATTTGATATTACAAATTATATAAATATATTGGATATCATACTGTACCCCATAAAATGAATTCTTATGTGTCAATTAATAAATTAAAAAAATTATGGACAGATGTGTTTATAAGTTATAAATTCGTTTTATTATAAATTATTATAGTTATTCCATTTTGTTACTAGTTGTTATCTCATACCATGCCTGATTACCAGTTATACTGTATCCTAGAAATTTCCAAGGAAAAGCTACAGTATCCTGTAGGGTTTTTACTGTCCAGTTACATGCATCCTTCAGGGATCTTTGAACAGAGACCCTGCAGAAAAGGTGGTGTTAGTATGATAAGCCATTAGAATTGTACTGTAATGTTGATATTTATGTTTTATATTTAGCATTAATTTGTAGCATAAGCACTCTTATAAAACAATAATACTAGACTTTTTTTAAAAGAATTATTTATTTTTATTAAAAATGCAGATATACAGAGAGAGAAGGAGAAACAGAGAAAAGGTCTTCCATCTGCTGTTTCACTCCCCAAAGGCTACAGTGGCCAGAGCTGAGCTGATTCAAAGCCAGGAGCTTCTGAGCTAACATGGGTGTGCAGGGTCCCAAGGATTTGAGGCATTCTCTGCTGTTTCTCTAAATAATAAACAGATAACTGGGTTGGAAGTGGAGCAGCTAGAACACAAATTGGCATTCATATGTGATGCTGGCACTTGAAAGTGGAGGATTTGCCTGTTGAGCCATGGCACTTATTCAGCCAAAGACTAAGATGTTTTTGAGTGAAAATGCACCAGATTGTTTAAATGCATGAATAAAGATAAAATGGAATTGGTCAAATTGTTGACAAATATTTGAGGGAAGAATACAAATAAGATAATACCATTTTGGACTTCGGGGGTTGTTTTTCTCAGCAAAAAATTAAGTTCTGTTTTAATTTCTGCGGAGATGTCAGATCTGTATTTAATGCTCAGATGGATTTTTGCTGGGGTGAAGTAGGTTTGTAGAGTTGACAGTTATGCTTAAAACAAACTGGGAATTGCACAACAGTAGCCATTTTTTTTTGTTCATGTGCAAAGCCACTGGCTAGCGCAAGGGAAAATGGTGAGAAAAAAATAAACTATTTGTCTTAAGGTGATCATCTTTAATGAAGGAGATAAATTATAAACAATAATTAGGTGTAGAATTCCAGTTATGACAAGAGTCATGGAATGCTTCTTACAGGATGATTTACCCTCTTCTGTAATTTTTAAGGAGAGTTTAGGAGCTGCTTAGGTGAAAGGGGAAGGAAAGAAGGCTTGTTCTCAGTGGTTAACCTGTGAGCATTTAGAGTGGATGTGCATGTGGCTGGAACACAAAATACTAAGTTTGTGGCAATGGAAGGTTGGAACAGAGATAGAGGTCAGGGTAAGGCATTTGATTTTTCTCCTAAGATTAGGAGCCAAAGAAAAGCTGCCAGATGTCTTGTTGTGTAAGGGAGAAACTTGATTGGAGCTGCTTTTTGATAATCACTTTGGCAGAAATGGAGAATGGGTAGAGGGAGATAAGAAAGACAGGTGGGCATGTTAGGTTGCTGCAGTAGTCCAGCCCAAGAGCTGAGAGCAGCTTGAACTGGTTTATGATGGTAGACATGGAGAGCTTTTGAGATATGTTTAGTATTTAAAACTGCAGGAGTTGATAATGGATGGAATGAGAAGGAGTAGCCATGCTTTCTGATCTGAGCTGATTTGGCTTAGTTTACTGCAAGAAATAAATCTTCATGTTTTCTTTGGAATGACTACTTTCCCCCCACTCCTTGATAACCAGAAGATTATCAGAGGTACTGCAGGATGATCAAGTTTGCATTTAAATTTGGTCTTTGTTTTCTAAAGTTAGTTTGATTTGCAATGGTGATCCTTGACTATTGCTGGTAATAGCTCCTTGAACATTTTGTAGTGCTGTCATAGAACATACCAACCGCGTCATCTTTCTTGAAGACGATGATGTTGCAGCAGTGGTGGATGGCCGTCTTTCTATTCATCGAATTAAGCGGACTGCAGGAGATCATCCTGGGCGAGCTGTGCAAACCCTGCAGATGGAACTCCAGCAGATCATGAAGGGTGAATGTTATCATGTTCTAGCTTAGTGTCTTTACACAAGGCAGGGAGTGTCCGTTCTTCCTGACGCTGGAGAAATCATTTGGTCTAGCCCTGCCAAGTTAATCACGAGGTGGGATCTGAAATTCAATAAATCTGTAACAGGCTAATATTTAAGTGGATAAATTCGTATGACTTACAACTCATGTTAGTAGTATCCAGATAGAACTTTGCAGAAAAACATTCCTACCCCTTATCTAAAGGAAGGGGCCATTCTACTTCCTGTGTGAGCACATGAGTCTGTAATGGTACTGAGTGCAGTCTTCCACAGGATTAGTGAAGGGACAACCCCAGGAAAAGGAATAAGATAATGGGAAATTATCTGCTGGTCTTAATAATAGTTCTTCAAAGGTGGTTTATTTCTTTATTATTATTATTATTATTACTATTTCATTTTATGACACAGTTCCATAGGCTCTGGGATTCCCCCAACCCCTCCAAATAGCCCTCCCCCCATGTTGGTTTATTTCTAATGTTATTTAAAAAAAGGCTATTGAATAGTACTTGGTATTTTTAAGATATTTGGTAAACAGTTTGTATTTTGTTTTCTGTTCCTCCCTTATTCTCTCTCTGCTTTAGTTTTCTAATATAACGTAAGGATAATGAAAGCTTCTTATTAAGTTTGTTTTGAAGAGTATAAGGGCTATATATTAAAGCCCATAGAACAGTGCCTGATACATAATGCACTGTATGTAATGTATGCTATCAACTATTATGATTTTTATGACTTGATATTTATTTGCTTTCCTTCTGTTGGGGATGTGTGGGAATAAAAACTAATGTTACTGCATAATTACTCTGTCGTTCCTTGCTATAATATTAGTCTATATCATAGTTTATACTATGAAGCAACTACTATTTTTAGTTCACAGAGTAAGGAATTTCTCCAGCTTGGGTAGTAAGGGATAGAATCATAATTTGGACCTGTATCTGACTCTAAAACTTGATCTTGTCTCATTTCTCTGTTTTGCTATAAGTATAAATGAAAGTAGCTTTTGTTGTCTTTCACTTGCTGAGATTAAGGTTAGACTTTTAGTAGTCTATAAATTTCTTATTCTTTGTTTTGTATCATTTTATTTTATTAATATAATTTCCATTGTTCTAGGCAACTTCAGTTCGTTTATGCAGAAGGAAATATTTGAGCAGCCAGAGTCGGTGGTGAACACAATGAGAGGAAGGGTCAACTTTGATGATTATACTGGTTAGTATGTATGAGTTTATTTTATTGTTATTACTTCTAGGTATCCTCTGGGATTGCCATTACCAACCTGAATTTTCATTGCCTTTTATAGCTTAGTAGAACAACTATGACTACCAGCCATCAATGGAGACCAGCCATCTTTTCAGAGACTTCATTGTATTATTTTGCTTCTATGAGGTCTCTAAATTAGATTCAAAGACAGATGGTAGATTGAGTAGATTAGTAATTATTAGAGCTTGGATGAAAGAGAAATGCATTTAATGAGTATGGAGTTTTAGTTTGAAATGATGAAAAAAGTGTGTGCATGGGTGGTTGTACAACATTGTGACTGTGTTTACTGTCACTGTATTGTATGCCTTTACGTAGTTAACATGGTAGGTTTTTTGTATTGATCTTCTGCTGTATACCAGTGACTGTTCTGGCACTGGATACTAAGAATGAGATCTTTTCCAGTTGCTGAGAGTTTTGTAGGTGTCTGCCTACGCGGGGTTTTGTAAGTAAAGAAACATGGAAACTTCGCCAGAGGTCTTCAGGGGCTGCTGGTAGACCTGTGGGATAACCTGTACTTGTCTGCATTTTTAAGGTAGAATCGAGAGTGACACAGTAATTTTACTTAGGGAAATCTTGTCTAGGCCTTGTGTCACAGTAGTTTGTGGATGTCTTCTGACCACACACTATCAGTTGCCCCTCAAAGAAAAGTAGGAATTTGGAAAGTTATCTTTATTGAATCTTACTCTTGAGGTTCTAATTATCTAGAAAAGGGGAATGAATAGGTTATTAACTATTTAAGGAAAAGTAAAATAGGATAAATGGTACAAGAACCACATTTTAATATTAAAATGCTTAAAGATTCCTTTTGACTTTAGAGAATGAATCTGTAGGAATGGGTTTTGGGTTCAGGGAAGTCTTGGTGAAGTAGATAGGTGTGGGCTTGGAAGATTTAAGTGAAGAACAGAAGGGAGCATCTTATTTGGGTGGAAGAGCATTAAGTAGTGGGGGGTGGAAGAAAAATACTGAGGAAGCTATTAATGGAATATGCTGTTTATTAGTCTGCTATATATTGGCACAGTGGGTAAATGGCCTCGCATGCATTCTGACGTGGGATTCAGGCCCCTCCTGTAGAAACTGTGCGATTGTGGTAGACTCAGGAGCCAGTGGTGGTTGTAGGTGCCTAATGGATATAAACTGGATGCCGGTCTCTGCCATGTGCCTGGGAGGATCAAGAGCTTGAGATGCAGTTGTCAGGATGTACTGTTGCTCTTGGATGTAGCAGTCGGGACAGGAGAAAGTGGTGGGTCAGGAAGCAAAATGAGCAGTGTCAACAGTAAGGATCATTTGTTACTTGTGGAAGTTAAGTCAGGAAAAAGCTTTGTTTTGTTAGGGGAAAATAAGAGAGAAATATTAAGAAGCTTATGGTTTTAAAAGGCATTTGATCCTTATTGTATGTGTGCAAGTTGTATAACAAACAGGATAGCTATTGTCTTTGGTGTGAAGCTGAGGCATTCAAGGCTCTTGTTGGTGAATGAACCGTGGTCACACTGGTAGGCGTTCATGGAGCCAGATTAGTCTCCATGTGTTCAGTGTTATTCTCAAGTACTTCATCCTTTCCCTACTCCACCACGTGTCCTTGCCCTTTCTGGTGGTTATGGGAATGATATTTCTCTCCAAGACTTCGTAAATTCTGACCTTGGACCTCTCCTTTTAGAACTACTTTGAACCGCCTCAGAGGCCAGAAATTTGCCAGGACTAATTTTAGGGCAAACTTGTGACCAATTCATTTCACCATTTGGCCTCCCTTTCATTCTTGCCTATCTGTAATACAAGACCCTCTGGTTCTAAGTTATCTATTTGAAAGGCGGAGTTTCAGAGAGAGGGAGAGACCAAGGGGAAGAGAGAAAGAAATCTTAAATCCATTGGTCTGCTCCTCAAGTGACTGCCGAACTGAGACTGGGCCAGGCCAGGAACCAGAATTTCGTTTGGGTCTCTCATGTATATAAAGCAGCCGAAACAGTTTGGTCATCTTCCACTGCTTTCCCAGGTGCATAAGCAGGCAGTTGGATCAGAAGTGGAGCAGCTGGGGTTTGAACTGGTGCTTGTATAGGATGCTGGTGCTGCTATGGGTTTTTAAAGCTTTAAGATCATCCTGGCATGGGGTGTAGAGCAGACTAGATGGTTAAAGAGAAGCATCAAGAGCATGTTGCTTATCTGGGCAGAGGAGATGGTCCATGGTGATGGTGGCAGAGAAACGTTTTGAATGTGGGGATGAAGAAGAGGGATGGCAGAAACCAACGATGAAGCCCACAGTTTACTGGAGCCATTAGAAGAATAGTGATGGCTACTGAGCTAACAGGCCGAAGGAGTCAGGTGGATATTGCACACAGAGCACTCTTCTGAGCACCATAGGGAACATACATAGAATTAAGATTAATTGTTGGTTTTTTTGTTGGCAAAATACAATTAGATAAAATAAAAATCACTGTTTTTGGTCAAAGTTCCCGGATGCATTCCCATTCCTGCCTGTTTGCAGGCAAGGTGTAGAACTATTGCATCTCCTTTATTGTCTGTTCCTCCCCATTCTATCCTTGCACATCTGCCCATCTTCTGTCTGATTTATCCTTAAGATGACATGAAGGAATGTAAAAGTGACTAAATGAATTGGAATGTCAAAAAATACTGTAGTGGTATGAACTTGTGTCAGGGTGGGTTGGGGAGGCAGTAAAGCTGTGTGACCTGTTGGAAACTGGAGAACCAGGTTTCCTAAAAGGAATATGTCATCTTGAAAATGGCAGTGTAATTTCTTATATTGGCAGTCGGCACTCAAGAAAGGGGACTGCCTTTTATATGGCTCTTTCCTAAATAATTATATACACAAACTTTTATTTCAGTGAATCTGGGTGGCTTGAAGGATCACATTAAGGAAATCCAGAGGTGTCGGCGATTGATCCTCATTGCGTGTGGAACAAGCTACCATGCTGGTGTAGCGGTAAGTGGCTTCGTGGAAGTTTAGTGACTGTGTGTTGGATTTAGGAGATAATCTGCAGAGTGATAATACCTCTAGAAACATACCAAGTAGACTTGTCCTTTGTTGAATCAAGTTACCTTTTTATGTTTTTAAAGACAGAGATCAGAAAGATAGGGAGAGAAATTTGGATAGCTGCATGGAATAACTAACAGTAGGAGATTGGCTGTGCAGACAAACCCATGGACTGACTTCACGTGCAGTGTAGAAGGAGAAAGGTTTTTGCGTTTCCTAGACTCACAACACGGGGAATAGCTGCTTGTGTGAGAGTGCAGTTTCATTTTGCAGTGTTTATCAGCCTCAGTCTGGTTGCCAGTAACATGAGAGCCCCAACAGGATTTTTGTGTGTGGGGGGGGTGAATTTCTGCTTTTTATCAGACTTTGTCTTTAAATTGTTATTTTAGAATCTAAAGATCTGTATGAAAGATGCATGTTGTCAATGAAGAAGCATTGCAGTGTGATGATATTTAGGTCAATAAATTAGATCCAGAAATAGTTTCCTTATAAAGAACCTGTTATGTGCTGTTTATAGAAGACCTTTTCATTCGGTTTCTGTTTCTAGAATTGATTCCCAAAGTTCAGACATAGTAATTTTTTATTTGTGGGACTGTGTGGATGTCAGCTTTTGCATCCCAATAAGCTTGCTCTTCTCTGAGGCCACCCCTCCCCCATACACCAAATTATGTGATCTTGAAAGGAAAGTCTGTGCAATATTAAAGGAAGAGGTCTGAGAGCTTATTGTTTGGAGCATGGGAAGCAGAATGAGTTGAAGACTTCAGTGCAGATTTAAGAAAAGATGAGCTCATTCAGTGGTGGCATAGATCTTTTGCTGAATGAACCCTCTATTTGGAAATTTAAAAAAAAATTACTTGATTCTGCAAATGCTGTGCTGGAATTATGTTAGAATTCTCCAATTCTTTTCTAATGACTGAATTTGAATTGGTAAACGTTTGTCTTGTATTTTGTAGTTGCCAAGACTATTATACTTAACAAACATTAGGAATCTTGAATTAATTCTGTTCTACAAATTCATATTTGCTTTTTGATGGAATCAAACGTGCATGACAGATATGCATGACTTTTTGAATATGTCCTCTGTGTGCTGAGTAATAACTACACTCACATCATTCTAAGTCTAATATGCTTTTCAAAAGTTTGTTTCTGGGTTTTATAGCAGCACAAATTTGAATTATAGTATCATTTTTTCTTTTATGATAAATAAGTCATTCTGTGTGTTTGTAAGCAGTAGTTACCACTTAGAGAACTAACTTGCCAGTAGCATAGGTGTATCTTGAAATTTTTCTGAGTTTGTTATTTTAAGAAATCTGATTTTTAAAAAGTCTGATAAATTGTTATATTTGTGTCTTTCTCTTCATTTTGAAGAGTGTAATTTCAGTGTTACAGTTATATTATAAACTGGTGTGTGTGTGAATAGGGAGTTACATTTGCTGGTGGGAGAGCACTTAGTATTTTAATGACAGTAACATGTATAATTAGATAAAATGCATCAATAGAAAAGGATAATTAAAAATAGGAAGATTCTATTTTCTAAGACTTTCTATACATGATGATATAATGTTAAAAAAAAGGTGCCGAACTGGTTACCTAATATCCTAAAACAAACCACTCTGTTTCACTCTGTGGACAAGCAGCAGTTAAAGGGCTGTGAGGAAGGAGCACAGGGTGGGGCTGGACAGGGCTAGGGCCACATGCTTAGAGAGGCTGCTTGCTAAAAGGCATCCAGAAGATGTGGTGTCCAAAGTTGGGGGTCAGGCAGCATACACCATTGGAGCCTGAAGGTTTTGCACCCTAAGTTTATTTTTTTTCTGTTGTATTAAAATTTCTGATATTTAGTTAGGAGAACTTTAGCTAGAATGGAAACTTGGTGAAGAATTGAAGTGCCCTTCGAACAGAAGCATATTCCCCTTCACTTCAGTCCCTCCTTGCTATGGTACAAAGTTTGAAAACATTGTGCCTTCTTAAACAGGGTTCCTGAAAGTATATTGACTTGTTTTGGGAAGTGGTACTTTATGACTATGGTAGGTTTTTAAAATTTCTAAAATTTCACTTAATATTTGTGCATCTGTTATCTCATTAAATTCCTCAATGACTCCATTGCCAAATGACTTTTGGTTATAGAGCATTGGAGTTGGAATGTTAGCAATCACATACAAGCTGACATAGAACAATGCCGTTTTCTACTTGTTTTATACATGTATGTGTGTCTGCTTGCAAGAATGTATGCATTGTTGTGTAAATGACAATAAAGTGTTAACAGTGCTTCTGTCTTATGTGTGAAGATTCTTATTGTTTTTGTATGTGTGTGCTTTACTCTGTGTTTCTGACATTGCTCATGTATCGTTTTTTGTAATTGAGAAAATAAAAACCATACGATAATTTCAAAGAGCACCTATGTAAAATAGTATTGAAAGGAAGGTTGCATGACAAAGCCATGTTGTTTGTGTCTGCAGACGCGTCAAGTTCTTGAGGAGCTGACAGAGTTGCCTGTGATGGTGGAACTGGCCAGTGACTTCTTGGATAGAAACACACCAGTCTTTCGAGATGATGTTTGCTTTTTCATCAGTCAGTCAGGTATGGTATTTTTGTTTTTAATTTAAATTTTTGATACTTTCTTCTTAAATGTTTTTTTAAAGATTTATGTGTTTTTATTTGAAAGGCAAAGTTGCAGAGAGAGAGAAGAGAGAGAGAGATCTTCCATATACTGGTTTACTACCCAGTGACAAAAATGCCTGGGCCTGGGCTAATCTGAAGCCAGGAGCCAGGAGCCTCGAGCCTCTTTTAGTCCACCAGTGGATGCAAGGATCCAAGGAGCTGGGCCATCTCCACTGCTCTCCTAGGGCATCGGAAGAGAGCTGAATATAAACTGATGGCTATATGGAACGCCAGTGGCACAAGTGGAAGTTTGACCTATTATACTGTGGTGCCAGCACCTAAAATTTAATTTTAGATACAGAGATACAAAGAGGGAAGGAGAGATACTGTGTTGCCATCTGCTGGTTCACAAATGCCCACAACAGCTGAGAACTGGCAGACCAATCCAGGTTTCCCAGCTATACCAGAGACCAACTACTTGAGCCTTTACTGCTGGCTTCCATAGTGCACATTAGCAGGAAGCTGGAGTGGGAAGTGGAGCTGGGACTTGAATCCAAGCACTATAGTGTGGGACTTGAGAACAAGTGGTTCCTTAACTGCTAAACTATACGTCTTCCCAGAAGTATATTAATTTTAAAGACTTGAAGAGAAGGTTAGTCATTGTAGCTATTCTAGTGTGTCATGGCAAAAACTGGTGATTAAAGATAAACTCGTATTAACTGACATGACAAGTATAAATTTATTTCAGTATTAGTTCTTTATGAATTAATAGAGAAATGCTGAATTTTCAAAGGTAGAATAGTAAAATAGATCCGATAAAGTATTTTATGCTTTGCTTAAAAGAAGTGATGGTGTTGAAAGTGTGCTAATGTGAAGCCAGCAGTTGGTACAGCAATTAAGACACCCACAGCCCATATTGGAGTGCCTGGTTTGTGTCATGGCTTCTCCACATCCAAACTGATTTCCTTGAATACACGTTCTGGGAGCAGGAGCAGATGGCTCAAGTGTCTGGGCCATCTGCTTGGGAGATCCAGAATGAGATCCAGGTTCCTGACTTCATCCTGGCCCCGGCATTTAGGAAATAACCTGGTGGATGATAGATTTCTGTCTTTCAAATAAAATGAAAACAAACTAGTTAATTAAAAATGAAAGTAGTTAGTTTATCTTGACATTGAAGAAACAGCATCTGTGGAAACTGCCCTATGTCTTACATTGGTGATTCTTTTAACACAGGAGAGACTGCAGATACTCTGATGGGACTTCGATACTGTAAGGAGAGAGGCGCTCTAACCGTGGGGATCACGAATACGGTTGGCAGTTCTATCTCAAGGGAGACAGATTGTGGAGTTCACATTAATGCTGGTCCTGAGATTGGCGTGGCCAGTACAAAGGTGAAGTCTTGACTTAGTGCTTTTCTGATTATTTTATTTAATTCCAGTATTTGTAGTTTGGAACTTATTTTTTTTAAGTGTTAGCAGTTGTAGAACACATACTCAAATATAATTATTGTGAAACTCAGGATTTAGGAATAGGTAGACTTGTTTTACTTTCCATCCCCCTTCTCTTAGAACTTATGTCAAAAGGGACGAATGTCTGTAATGTAAGTCCATTTGGAAAGTCTCTGCTGGCTATCCTCATTCATCACTTAGTTATTTGAGAGGCAGAGAAATAGTTTCTATCCACTGGTCTCTCCCTACATACTCCCGCTTTCCCTGGCTTGGGCCAAAACCAGAAGCCAGGAGCTCAGTTTAGGTGTTTCTCATGGTTGGCTGGCAGGAGCTCAGTCATGCAGGCCATCACCGGTGCCTTCCAGCGTGTGCATTAGCAGGGAGCTGGAAGTTGACCCTGGGCACTTTGATATGGAATGCAAGTGTCTTTCCCTGAGCTAAAAACTTTTTATATTAATACATATAATCATCACCTGGGGTCTCCCATTAACCCTTTTTGTTGTTGTTGAGTTACAATTTCCAAAGCATAGCATTCAGCATTTTTAAGTATACAGTTTTATTACTTTTTGTCTGTTCAACTGTGACCACAGTTCAGTTTTAGAAGATTTCAGTCACCTGAAAGGGTTTGTGTCTCTTTATAGTCAGTTTCTCCTCCTAGCTTTCAGCCTCAAGATGAGTGATTATTGCATGTGATTTTCCAGAAATTTCTTGCAAATGGACTTGTATAATACATGTCCTTTGTGCCTGACATTTTTCATTTGTCAGGATAAAGCTTTTGAGATTCATTCATTTTCTATTTGTATCAGTAATTTTTTGCATTTCATTAAACAGATTTTATTTTGACATAAGTATAGAGTTATAGAAGTTGGCAAAGATAGTATAAAGATGTCCCACATGCTCTGCACTCAGTTTCCCCCGGTGGTTACATTTTGTAAGTATGGAACATTGTTTTATGCTATTTATTTTCTTTTTTTTTTAAAAAAAGGAACTGGGCCTGGCGCAGTACCCTAGTGGCTGAAGTCCTCACCTTGCATGTGCTAGCATCCCCTGTGGTCGCTGGTTCTAATCCTGGCACTCCCCATCCAGCTCCCTGCTTGCGGCCTGGGAGGACAGTTGAGGACGGCCCCAGGCCTTGGGACCCTGCACTTATGTGGGAGATCTGGAGGAGCCTCCTAGCTCCTGGCTTTGGATTGGCTCAGTTCTGGTAGTTGTGGCCACTTGGGGAGTGGGTCAGCAGGCAGAGGATCTTCCTCACTGTCTCTCCTCTTTGTGTATCTGACTTTCCAATAAGAATAAATACACCTTTTTTAAAAAATGAACTAAGCTAGAGGGTAATCAGAGATCCTTGATCCTGGTCCCTTGACCTAGTGCTAATCTTGCTTGTGAATTTCAGCCTTGCCTGAAAAACTGTCAGGATTAGAGGGATGTTATGGACTTCCTCAAATACCAGACCATGGACAATTTGATATTTCTGCAGGAACTGATGGGCATGAGTGTGTAGGTTCAGCATTTTTTTATATGTTATTGCAGGTGTTTAGAATTTAACCACAGTGCTGACTGTTGGTGACTGTTAAAAAAATAAATAAACCAATTAACTTTGTTTTTTTTGGGTGAATAAAAAGAAGAAGCAAATTTAAAAGTCCAGAGTCAACATTTTCCTGTTAAGTTCTTCCAAGCCTCAGTAAATTCTAAATATGGAGTACAACTTTGCTCACAATTAGTCTCCTGGCATCCACTGATGAAGTGAAAAATACGAAGTTGAAGTTGGAAGTTAGGCTATAACTGCAACATGGTGGAAAATGCGTGCATTTATGTTATTATGTGTGATATTTACACATGATTGGTTTTGAGATGTTTTCAGTTTGAAAAAAGAAACACTGGTTTTACAGAATAACATTTTTGGTTACAGGTAGGGTGATCTATGGGTATCCCAGGAGTCCAGCATACCTGGGCTCTTCCCCCAGCCATGAGAGTATATTTTATGATTATTGATTTTAATGAAAAGTAAACTACAGTAGGAAGAGGTAGAGTGAGAGCCACAAGAATTTGGAACATAATGTGCTCATTCTATTTGGAGGCTAGGGACTCAAAATCCACTTCCATAATAAGGGCAAGTCGTCCCCCCTGCCTGTGGCTGTTACAAATGTGAAGGGACAGGTAGAGGCTGAACAGGTCTAGCCAGAGGGAACAGTTGCATTTACCTGTGGGGAAGGTCAGGAACATTGTCAAACTGTAACTTTATTAGAGAAGATATCTCATATTCACATTATGATAACGAAATAGTCATCAATGTCAAGATCTCCTGTCTGGAGGAGAGCAATAGAAAGTCATTCAGTAAAAAACAAAACAATGAATTTTCTAAAATTGGAAGTGTACGTAACTCTTATAGCTGATCACAGCACAGTAATTTTTGTAGTTTAATAATAAAATCGTAAATAAAGTCCGAGGAGGCCGGAAACTTGAAAATCTTCTGGATAAATTTTGGGTCTAAAAGTTGTGAGTACTGGGGTCTGCACTGTGGCACAGCAAGCTAATCCCCTGCCCTGAGGCACCGGCCTCAACAGCAAAGGTCTTCTTAAATCAATTTAAACCCAAACAAATCTGTAAAACCCCAATTGAAAGCCAGGTGAAGAACACCAAAACCAATTCTTAGGCGTGAAATAATCTTAATTTGTTGGATTCGAAATATGTGTTGTATGGTAGTGCTGAGGGTCCATTGTCTGTTCTCAACGTGGTAAATATTTGCTAGAAAGATAATTTTCCATATTTCATAGACAGTGGCAGAACAAGCATGTCTTAGTTTTGTATGAAGCTAATGAGGGTGAAAATAGTCTTGGCTATTTGACCACAAGTGTAAAAACATTCATAATTCTATAACATAGAAAGGCAAGTGTCTTTTAGTTCAAATATCCACCAGTGAGATTCTGAATGTTTGAGATCTATGTATGGAATATTTTACTGACTAATTGATTTTGGTCTTAGTTAATTCTCCTGATAATCTTAACAAAACCACATACCTTTAACTGTGAGGCATCTAGCCTAAACAGGAACTGTGAAGGCTATCAGACCCCTAGAAAGAAACAACTTCTTTTATTTTTTAAAGATTAATTTTCATTGGAAATGCAGATTTTTAGAGGGAAGGAGAGACAGAAAAGATCCTCCATCTGCCGGTTGGTTTACTCCCCAAATGGCTGCAATGGCTGGAGCTGAGCCAATCTGAAGCCAGGAGCTTCCTCTGGGCCTGCCATGTGGGTGTAGGATCCCAAGGCTTTGGGCCATCCTCTACTGCTTTCCCAGGCCACAGGCAGGGAGCTGGATGGGAAAGTGGAACAGCTGGGACATGAACTAATGACCCGTATGGGATCCTGGTGCTTGCAAGGCAAGGATTTAGCTATTGAGCCATTACCAGGTCCCAAAAGTACAATTTCTTCCCCCAGACATACTCAGCCTGTTAATTGGGAATAAAAGCAAGTTATAAAATGTATCTAATTTTATTGACAACATAAAGAAAAAAAAGCAATTGAAGCTAGGAATGTTCCTATCAATGATAATAATAGGATTGGAGATTGTTGTCAATTCCGTTTATCTTTCTACAATTGAACTTCTTGTTTTTAAACAAATTTTTATTTAAGGAAGAAAGGGGGAGTGTTAAGGACTAAGCTGTAAGCAATGGTGAAAAATCAAATCTAAAGAAATCCAGCAAGTCCTCTCAGCCAGGACTTGGACCTTTTGAAATACCAACAGCTTATTTTGGTTAACATTTGCAGATACCTTGTCTATTCTCTTTTCTTTAGAATATTTCTTTTCTTTGCTTTTTGGATTTGTTAGAAAATTCATAAGCATCCCATGGTTATAAAGTATAACACATTTGTATCTGGGAAGTAAGGATTAAGTCATTTGTTGGAGTTTTGATAAAGGAGACTAGTGATTAATTTCCCAATTACTGTCTCAATTTATTGTTATCAATGTTGTTTTTAAACCATGGGTAATGTGTACTGTTAAACCCATGGGAATTGTCTTTCCTTTCCTTTTTTTTAATTAAAATTTCTGAGGTGTCACTTCACTTGACTGTGCTGCTACTTCCTGTGTTTCAGGCTTACACCAGCCAGTTTGTGTCCTTGGTGATGTTCGCCCTCATGATGTGTGATGACAGGATCTCCATGCAAGAGAGACGCAAAGAGATCATGCTTGGATTGAAACGGCTGCCAGGTAGGAAGATGCTCACAGATTAGTCTGGTTGTCTAAAGGAGTGGATAAGGGGTTACTTCTCATCCCTGAAACTGTTCCTAACTGTTTTGTGAAAACTTTGTACTTCTGCCCCATGTTGTGAGAAATGCCACACCCACACCCTGGAAGAATAGAAACAGTGTTATTGCTGTTGTACTGTCCAGTTTATTGCCTTTGCTATTGTTACTTTTTTTTACAGATTTGATTAAGGAAGTACTGAGCATGGATGATGAAATTCAGAAACTGGCAACAGAACTCTATCATCAGAAGTCAGTCCTGATCATGGGACGAGGCTATCACTATGCTACTTGTCTGGAAGGGGCTCTGGTAAGTTGTCTTCCATGTGATGAGTTTCAGTTTGTTGACCTGATGCTGGATCATGGTTTTAGGTTGGATGAATGAAGTAGGTGGAACTTCCAAATTGCCTCAGTATTTGCGCAGTTTGCTTTGGTTTATGTTGAGAAGGTAAAACAGAGAACTTAACTCAGAAAGGGTACATTTTTACATAATGTGAGATGAAACGTGAAGTGAATGGAAAAACACTTGTAAACTGCATGTTTTTTTAAAAAGTTTTACATCTCTTTATTATTATTATTATTATTATTATTTTATGATACAGTTCAATAGGCCCTAGGTTTTCTCCTAGCGCCTCCCCAATCCCTTCCTACCTCACTGAGTTTCCCTGTATTATTACTATAGCATATTTCTTCATTGGAAAGTCAGTTTTACGGAGAGTAGGCGAGACAGAATGATTAGAGATCTTCCAGCTTCTGGTTCACTCTCCAGGTGGCGGCAGTGGTTGGAGCTAAGCCAATCCAAAGCCAGGAGCCAGGAGCTTCTTCCAGGTTTCCCACACAGGTGTAGGCTCCCAAGGCTTTGGGCCATCCTACATTGCTTTCCCAGGCTGTAAGCAGGGATCTGAATGGGAAGCAGAGTAGCCGGGACTCAAACTGGTGCCCATATAGAATCCTGGTGGATGCAAGGCAAAGATTTAGCCACTAGGGTTTTGTGTCTTAGAAAAAATTCTTATGGTGCTTTAAAATTCCAATTAGTTGTTGAAATTACAGAAATCGTTAATTTGTTAGCTATATTTACAGATAGTGATTTAAAAATATTTAGGGTTAAGTAGACATATAAGTAACTTAACATATCAATTATTTTCTATGAAATTGACTTAAGGATATGGATTTCTGAAAAATGAACTGAAAGCTAATCTTGTTCTTTCCTATTAGAAAATCAAAGAAATCACGTACATGCACTCTGAGGGCATCCTCGCCGGGGAGCTGAAGCACGGCCCTCTGGCTCTGGTGGACAAGCTCATGCCCGTCATCATGATCATCATGAGAGACCACACTTATGCCAAATGTCAGAACGCTCTCCAGCAGGTGGTTGCCCGGCAGGTACGTCAGGGGCCGCTGGGAGGACACCTTGCTAATCTAGGAGCCCGATTACTAAAGCTTGTTGCAATTTTGACATTTAAAGTGGTTGACTGGTGCCCGAAATCAGACCTGAGAGATACATTTACATGAACTCATGAAGTCATTTGTTTTCTAAAACAGCGATTGTGGTTTCCACGTGAGATATATGTTCAGACTTCTTGGGGGACCTACCTCAGACATTAGGTAGAGCCATGGGTAAAACTGAACTCTTAGGCTCTAAATTCTGTTTTCTATCAATTAACATGTTAGCTCCTTTTAAATTTTAATATTTCAGGAGAAACCTGGCACTTAGATTTGCTGTTAATAAGAAAGCTGCACTTGAGTTTTCAGATCAATTGACTTTATATATAAATCCTAAAAGACACTACTCCCTAAGTACAACATACTGCTAATGAACTTGAACTTTGAAGATTTATTTATTTTCATTGGAAAGGCAGGTTTACAGAGAGAAGGAAAAAAATTTTCTTTCCCCTGCTCTTTCCCCAAATGTCTGCAATAGCCAGAGCTGAGCTGGTTAGAAGCCAGGAGCTTCTTCTGGGTCTCCTGCATGGATACAGGGTCCTAAAGCTTTGGACCAATCTTCACTGCCTTCCCAGGTCACAGCGGTAAGCTGGATGGGAAGTGGAGCAGCCAAACACAAGCTGGTACCCGTATGGGATCCTGGCACTTGCAAGGGGAGGATTAACCAAATGAGCCATCATACCAGCTATGAACTTGAACTTTGATGGTGTCTTGCCTAAATTCACATATCTTCTGATTTTTTTCAAGATTTAAACATTTTTTTTAATTGGAAAGGCAGGTATGTATAGAGGAGATGAAGATCTTCCACCCACTGCTCCACTCCCCTAGTGGCTGCAAGTGCCAGAGCTGAGTTGATCCAGAGCTGAAAGCTTCTTCTGGGTCTCCCATGTGGGTACAGGGTCCCAAGGCATTGGACCATCTTCTCTCGTCTTCTACTGCTTTCCCACATTGTAAGCAGGGAGCTAAAAGGGAAGTGGAACAGTCAGGACACAAATGAATGCCTATATGGGATCATGGCAGATGCAAGATTCAGACTTAGCCACTAGGCTATTGCAGTGGACCCTAATCTTCTAAATTAAAAAAAAAATTACTGAAGCTTCTATTCTGCCCCCCCCCCCCCCAGCGATATTCATCAAATTTGTCCCATAAAATTGTTAGTTTAAATAAAGTCTGTCAGGCTGTGTGTGCTGTTTGCCCTGCAAAGTTCGCACATTTCTTCTAGCCCTGCCATTGTTCACCAGGGGTATTGTGTATGTGTGTGTAATTTTGTTTGCCAGGGGCGCCCAGTGGTGATATGTGATAAGGAGGACACGGAGACCATTAAGAACACGAAGAGAACGATCAAGGTGCCGCACTCCGTGGACTGCTTGCAGGGCATTCTCAGCGTGATCCCCTTACAGCTGCTGGCCTTCCACCTCGCTGTGCTGAGAGGCTATGACGTAAGTGATGCACCAGGAATCAGGGAAATCTTTTTTTTTTTTTTTGCTTGGGTACATCCTGATAGTTTTTCTTCTAAATTTTTAACAATAACATTTGAGAAATCCATCTGCTATGCGACTGGCCAGATTTGTAGATCTGTCATAACGTAGCAGGATCTCCATCTGTTTTGTTAGCATTACCCACTGTTTGTAAATGGAGTAGCTGTTGGTATTTGGATAGGGAGCAGCCATTTCTTCCCATAAGAAGCTGCGCAACACATTATAAAACTTGTAGCATTCCTAATCCTCCAGTCATTGCAGAGGTCAGAACGTATAGCTCTTTTGCTCTTTTATTTTTAGCTTCACCTCTGAGGACTGCTGCCTCTGTAGAGAACCCTGCCAGCTCTTCTGTGCAAACTGGGAGCTGTAGAATTCTTTTTCCTAACCGCTTAGCTTTTTCAAGCTCCATGATTATATTTTCTAATGTAGTTTCTTATAGTCTGTAACAAAGGGGTAAAGAGCACACCGTTTACTGTTCAGGAAGCGAACAGCCCACTGAGAACAGTTTTCCTTCATTTCCCATCCCATGTCTGTGGATGCTTTCAAATCTTGTTTCTTGAATTTATTTTGCAGGTTGATTTCCCACGGAATCTCGCCAAATCTGTAACTGTAGAGTAAGGAGCGTCTGAATCTCTGGACGATTAAGCAACACAAGACACCTTTTGTATTCAAACCTTGATCTGAAATATCACTCCTTGAAGCCTTTTTTAGTAAATCCTTATTTATATATCAGTTACAATTACTCCACTCAATTTGTGATTTTATCAAATTACCTCTTATGCTTTTCCCAGTGATTTGTGGGGGAGACGGAAAAATGGAATCTATGAGGAAAATTTTAACTCATTTTCTGTAAAGAATGCTGGGCTTGGAGTTTCCGATTCCTCCTCTTCAATCTGAGATGATTGTATGTTTTTAAATGATTGGCATTTGTTTTACCTTGCTTTATTCATTCAGACCAGTGAGACAATAGTGCATTTAACCTGGAATCTCTAAAGCCGTGGCAAAGTTTGCTAACACTTGGACATCTACTGAAGGTTTTGTTAACTTATGTATAAATAGAAGATGCTGTGATTTATTTTGAAGCTTGTTTCTATTTTGTTTTTAGATGAAACTGTACAACAAAAAAATGAACACTTTTCTTGGTAGAATTTGTTTCTGAGTTTGGTTAACCTTAGTTTCTGAAACCTGCCGTCTGTTCTGTAGCTGAAGCTAATTTATGAAGCTAACTATTACACTAGTGCATTGGTGTTCTTCAATTGTCAACAGAACATTTTTGCACAATTTTATAGCACAAGCTTTAAATTTGAGCTGCTTTGGGTAATGACAGTAGGATTGTGAATTTGAAGTTGGGGTGTGTACCTGTTCGGTATCCTATGCCCTATTTTCTGATAGCCTAAAAGTGGTCTTTGTTTCTTTGTATCTATAATTTTGTATTTCTTAACTGTTAAGCGATTTTCTTTTATCTTATTCTTGGAAACCACAGCATAAAGCTGCTGTCATATGTCTCAAATTGGTCTTGATATATACAGTATATGTCAAGGAAGGAAAAATTTCCTGTAGTTCGTACAAGCTTTCTTTCATTGCCTGTTGTAAACTGATGGTACACTTAGTGCCAGTCTGGAAGTTGTTTCAATCATTGGAGAGAATTGAAAGCCTTTGACTAATTGAATATCTTTAAGTGGTGAGCGAGGCTTAACAAAAGCCAAGTGCTTCCTATCGTACTAGTGAAGGATGGCATCACATTTACTATTACCTCTAAGTTGCTTTTTCTATCTATGTTTTTTGTGCTTTACCCCTGAAGTTTATTTAGGAATGAAGAAGTTACATATAAAAGGGTATTGCTGTGCCTTTCACTGGTTAGTGTCAGAAACAGAAGTCAACAATTTGGATTCAAATATTTAAAGTAGAATGTTAGGTTATCACCCAGACGAATGTAATAATTTCTTCATGGAGTTTTTTTTTTTTTTTTTTTTTTTTTTGAGGAGGGGTGCAGATCTTGTGGGCTGGGAGAATGCGTTTTTGTATTGATTCAGTCTTTTTTTTTTTAGTAATTTTCACTTTTCAGTTGTGAAGGTAAGTTGAAGTGCAGGCTTTTTGCTTTTGTATGTGTGCTTGAATTTCTTAATTAGGTTAAGGTTTTGTGAATAGCTGTGATGGCTGTGGGACATACAATTCTGCTTGTATTTTATAGTTAAGGAAGGGGTTGGCGTAGTTGGAGGAACTTGGAAGCACTCTTAGATGCAAACTGGCAATCTTTTTAATAGTAAAGTAGGGTCACTACTTTCTATATATAATACTGTAGTGATATTTATCTACTTTGTTTCTAAGAACACCTTGTAATCTTACTAGTTTTAGTTCTATGTAGGCTTACTACTTTTAGTATGTGTGTAGTGTAACTTCTTATGTCTGGTATGCTAGCATTTTACACACTTAATTTGTATGGGCTTGTTGTATTTTTTTTAAGTTAGTAGATAATAATTGTTCATCTTTCCCCATAGGTTACAGTGTATTGCTTTGGTACACCTATATGTAGTCTTAACAATCAACTTAGCATTTTTAGGTTATCCTTCCCCCTCCCCCCCGAAAGTTTATCGTTTCTTTGTGATGATAACTTTCAGAATCCTTTCATGTACTTCTTTCTGAAACAATGTTGTTTCAGTTTCAGAATGTGTTGCTCTTACCTGGCTGTGACTTTATATCAATTAACCGGTTTCTCCCCATCTCCCCCTGGCCTCTGCTGACCACTGTTCTGTCTCCTGTGAGCATAGCTGGTTTAAATTCTTCATGTTAGTGAGATCATGGGTCACTTCACATACTCTACGGTTTGATTCGGTCTTCTAAGTTAAAATAATATGTAAAATGAACCATCACTTTGCATTTTCTCTTCTCTTCTCTCTCCTTGTTTTTCTTACACACACACAACCAGGGTAGGAATTAACTGAATATTACAAGTTTAAATGAAGAGCAACGTGATATTTTATGAACAAACATAATGTCTCTCCCTCTCCCTTTTTCTTATACTTTACCTCATTTGATGTAATAATTCTCAAATGCTTTTATACATTGTTATCTTATTGGGATGAGGCAAACTAAGTGAGAATGTCTGGTGAAAACCAGTGTAATACTTTCAGAAGAGTAGATGTTTTTGTAGAGTAGATGTTCTACAAAAAGTGTCCTTTGTGTGAAGTTCCTTCGTGAAGTTCATGTAAAGTTCAGATTCACTCATATACAACTTAGAGAGCCTCATGCCTGAATCCTTAGGGGGCGTATGCAGTATCTATAACGCATTGCGCGGTAACTGATTGTTGCTTTAGAGTCAGCTTTCCAGTTGTTGTTGTTTTGTTTTGTTTTGCTTTGTTTTAAAGTTACCTATGCCACAGGAATAAAGAATAAAAAAAAGTTAGCTAATTTTAGGGTGTTTTAACTCTGTTAACAAACATTTATTAGTTATCTTTTGTTTGTAAGTCAGTGCTAGGTGTCAAAAATTTCATCTTCTTTAGAGCAGTCTCCCATTTTTCCACCAGGCGAACTTGTCACTTGACATGAAGTCCTTTGGGAAGCACAGGGTGAAAGGGGGGTGGGAGGAGGGGATAGAGCTGGGGTGTGTGTTAAGTGTGCATTGGGTGCATGGATTTGTTTATGTAAATAATGGTCCAGGTTTAGAGATACACTATGTTCATAAAAAGGGAAATGTATTTGCAAGGTATACTAGTTCACAGGCTATATAGATCTATGGTACTGTAGGGCTGGGTGAGGTGGAAGAGTGGTTAGACTGCTTGCTGCTTGGAACATCCACATCCCAATGGGAAGTGGCAGTTTGATCCTGGCTATACTACCTCTGATCCAGCTTCTGGCTCGTACAATCCTGAGAGGCAGCAGATAATGGGTCAGATGCTGTGGCGCCTGCCACTCACGTGGAAGACCCAGATGGATTTTTTCTCCTGGCTTTGATCTGGCCCAGCCCAGACTGTTGCAGGGTGTTTGGATTGATGGTACTCCAGGACAGCAGTAATTGATAGTGCAAAGGTGAAAAGCAATCAAGCCTTGCTGCTCCTGAAAGGGAATTGACACGCCAGTGAGGCTATATGTTAAGAGAGCAATACAGGCATTCTCTTTTAGCTTTCTTAGGTTATTTATGACATCATATTGCCTTATCCTTTTTAAAAAAATGCTTTGACAATAATGTGTATATATTTGCATGGTACATTGTGACATTTCAACACAGGTATATAATGTGCAATGATCAAACCGGGATAATTGGGACATATCCATTACCTCAAACATTTATCATTTCTTTGTGTTGATTATTTAAAATCCTCTGATTCTTTGGCCTGAGTTAGGTCTGAGAGGTTGGGATGAAAGGATCCTGTTTTAGGTTCTTGGTAATACGCCCCTGTTATTTGTGTTTGTTTCTCTTTAAAGAAAAACCAATTGAAGTGTTTGCTTCAGCAAGAACTCTGTTAGGGTCAGTTTTTTCTCATTTTTAAAATTAGGTTACACTATAGCAATAAAAGAGACTTAAGAAAACTAATTCTTGTGTGCTATAGCCTAAGTGGTTTTTCTAAAAAAGCACAATATCATTGAAAAAATATTTATTGAAAAATAATCCGTAGCTCATACTGACTTTGTGAAGGCCAAAGAAAACTGAAGGAAATGGTAAAGACATTTTAGTTTTAAGATGTCCATGCATTTAGTACATTTGAGTACAGGTCAGAGTATTTTGCCCGTGGGGACAGATTTCACATTTCTTTGTTTTTCTGGTTAGAGCCTCAAGTGTAGAAATTTGAACACATGAACCATATTTTCCCTATTGTATTTAAAAATTGTCACATTTTCAGTATCTAGGATTCCTAACCTGATGAATTTTAAGTATATCTTCAGTGACCACCAGTAAGGCTGATAACATTAACTTCAAAACAGTAGTAGCCAGGGTTAAAAGAAAAATCCTGATTAACTAGGAAGACTGTGAGAGTATGCCGTTTTAACTTGTAAGTCTGTAATTGCTTGATATCAAAATTTTATGTAATATACCATGAATAATGTCTAATGAAAACATCTTAGGACATTCTCAGATTACTTTTCTTACTCTGCTAGTTTTCAGAATGAATATAGAAATGATCCTGTTAGCTTTTTGAAACTGCTCTAGAATGTTTTTGCTTAAATAAGACTTTTGGTATTTGTTTAAATTATACCTCTTGTGAGGTGAAATGTTAGACTCATTCTTGCTTTGTTTCAGTTTTGTGTTCTTTGAAATGAATGTTTAGTTTCCTGAGCCACTTGGTCATTTTGTCCTCATGTATTGTTAAGTCCAGTGTCTCTAAGCTTGAACTGTGAATAAATTACCAAAAGTGTGCTGAGAATTTCATTCTGAAGCAGTGTGCCAATATTTGGAGCATGCGCATATATGTAGCTGTGTTAGAAGTTGTGCTGTATTCAGAAGATAGCCAGTGTTTAGTTGTTAGTAAACATTTCTGATGCCCAAAGCTTATTCATTGTTGTTGCTTTTAAAACAGAAGGAATGACTACAGAAATAGTCCCAGAGCTACTTGTCTCCCTGTGCTTGCAGTTGTTTTGTGAAGGATCATTAGAAGAAAGCTTTTTTCTGCTGTCACAGTTCACAGGTGTTATAGTTTCTCAAGCCTTTTGCAATTCTTTGTAGGACTGTGTAGTACACAGCGCCTGTCCAGAGTGCAATGATCAAAAATTTTAACTGTACTGATAGTTGCAGAAGGATATTTGAGGTGAGTGAACAGCAGGACAATCAAGTTTTTCTTGTATCTGGACAATTACAGAACAGGGTCTGTTGGTGATAGGACAGGGTCCCTTTATAAAAGCCTTCAGGAACAGCACCAGAATCCCTGTCCCAGCTGCTTGCAGCACTTGCTGTGTTGCAGGAGAGATACAGTGCTGCTGTTTTCACCAGGCTGCGGCATTGCGATTCCTCTCCCTAATCCCACTGCCTGCCCCCCACACCCCTGGCCTCCCCAGACTGTCTGCCCTTTGGCTTCTGCTCCTTAACACCTACTCGGACTCTCCCAGCAACCCCACCAGCATGGGGAACTTGTTCCGCAGGTCACATTTCAACAAGTCCAGCCTGCCTTATAGCAAACAATTTTCAGTAGATTCTCCTCTGCTCTGTCAGTGAAAATTTACTGAGTGCTTCCTAAATAAAAAACCAAGAAGTAATATACTTAAAAATCAAGAGGTCACTTTTTTTTTGTTGGTGTGTCACTTAGAGAAAATACATTTTTTTTGAAGACAGAAAAAATTAAAGGTTACATTTTTGCCATTAATTTAGTGATAGTTTCCTCTCATTAAAAAAAAAAAAATAAGTGTTTTCCAGAAGGGAAAGAGGCAAAGACAGAGCAAATGAGATTTTCCATCTGCTAGTTAAATCCCCAAATGACTGCAGTGGTAATGGGTAGGCTAGGCTGAAGCCATGAGTCTAGAACTCCATTCCAATTCCATCCAGGTCTCCCTCATGGGTGCAGGACCCAAGTCCCCGAGCTGTCCTCAGCTGTCTTCCCGGCACATCAGCACCTATAAGAATGAGTGCCACCATTGCATCTGCTAAGCCACAAAGCCAGCCTCTTCCCTTGTATTTTTATGTGATACAGGATCTTTGCATGCTGGAGCTATGTACTCTTTATGATTTCCAGAAAAGTTACCCAGTTACTAAACCCTTCCCAGACAGTGTAGGTACAATAAGGACTGTTCATGCTGTGTCTGGTCCATGTGTATCCTCATGATTTTATCATAGTACCATGATACATTCTCTCAGATTCCAAGATTCACTTCAATATGACTTAATGACTGTGATAGGGTCATTTTTTCCAGGAGATTTTGAATGTGAAAGTGTAATTGGAAATAGGGAGTCAAAAATGGGGCTGGTATACAAAGGAATTCTCTCTGTATAGAACTTATTTCCTTCCCATTCACCTAGTAGTCAATGTGAAATTCTAAGACTACTTAACAGGATGAAGGCAACTGACATTTTCATATGCTGTTAATTTCCTGCTGCTTCCTTATAAATATGGGATAATGTGGATAGAAGCAATTAGCAGTCCAGAAGCCAGAGCCATCAATTAAGTCACGAAGCTGACGGGTCTTTAAAAAGTTGGTCTTCATTACCATCGCATAGCTCGTGAGGTTTTCAGGAGTGGTTTGCCTCTGTCCTTCAGTTCTGTGTGTTTGGGGATGAAAATAAGTATAATGAGGTATTGGGAAGAACGTTGCCAGAATTCCCAAAGCAAATGACACAGTTGCTAAGACCCAGCTGTGTCAGGATGGCCATGGTCACTGTCTGCTAGGAGACCCCCCGCAACACCCGGGTGCATGGTTCTCACTGCACCAGTCACTGGTGGTTTATTGTGGCAACTCAGATGTGAGATGAATTCATGAGGAAACCTGTCCCATTTTCTCCAAATAACATTTGCTAATCAAATAAGGAATACCTAAGACAGTGAAGTCTTAAGTTTCTAACGAAGGGAAATAAAAGTAAATTCTGGTTTCTTGCTGTTTGACTAGAATGTGTGCAGCCAGTCTGATTTATGGAGACATTGTCTTTTTTGCTCATTGGATTTTGTTTGTATAGTTGTTTTGGAATATTGAGCATATTTTCTTTGAATTTTGCCTCTTGCTTACTTTTGTATTTATCCTTTGAATAAAATACCTACTGAATATTAATTTTGTTAATTCTCATTGCTGCTATATAGTAAGCTATAAACTTAGAAAAATCTTTTATTCTTGATTGTTATCTTGAACCCATGTGTCATTGCTAAAATTTAAAACATCTCTTTAAAAAAGGCAATTTTGAAATTACTTGACATATACTTTGTGTTTTGTACTGTGAGAAAATACACTGGGCTCAGAATACAGAATTTAGTGCTATACCATTAGTAATGGAATTGCTTTGTTTTGTCTTTAGGGAGAGTTGTGTAAATTGGCTTGCACACTGCTAGGTTCTTCCAAGGGCTGGACCCAGGAATGAAGGAGAGGAACTGGGATCTCAGAACCAAGAACAACTGGCTGGTGGCCGACACACTGAATCCCCCAGCAGCGTGACCTTCCTAAGCTGACCGCTCTCAGCTCCTCTGGTCAGTGTGCTGGCAGCAAAGCAGCTCTGACAACTTGGGCCATCATCCTATCAGAAGATTGAGTTGATTAAGTGTTTTAAGATGTATTTTTTTGAGGGGGAGGAGACAGATTTACAGAGAGAAGAGGAGACAGAAAGATTGTAATGGGCTTGGCATTTTGTTTTTTAAAATTGAGCCCAGCCATTGTTACATTTGGATACAAGGTCCAAGGAAGGCACGAGGACAGCTTCCCAATATAGGAGACTTTTAGTGTGGAAAGGACAGCATGGTGAGGTGGGATTTAAGCCTGTCTGCACAACAGGCAGTGAGTTCTGAAGTAAGGCTTTGGACCCCTCACTCTGCCAACGCTCCTGGGGTTTGGACAGTTGTCCTTTTCTGCATTTTGCCTGGGAAAGGGCTGTGAATTTTCACAGAAACCCACATCTACCAGACTAAAGTGGATATCAGCCTGGGATCTCCTTGCAAGGAACTCTGAGTTAAGCCTTTGGATCTTGGTGGAACAATACAGTGTTACCCTCAAGGATACTGTGTCTGTGTCCAATTTTACCAAATGTGGAGATCATGTCCCAATGGCCTAGTAGCTTTGACTGTACCCGTTTAGGATATCCCATAGCTCACATAATTGTTTCCATGGATAGTTGCAAAGTTTGCTAGGTGGCTGTTACTTTTTCACTCTTAGTTTGTGCTATCCAATGTCCTGGAACCGCATGTCATATGAAGAATACCTATGGAAAAATACAGTGAATGACTCACCTATAAGGGACTTTATAAACTTAATGAAAAGTGAGAACAAGAGAATGTTTTAAAGGCCAGTGTTGTGGCACAGCCTGTTAAATGGCTGCTTGTGATGCCAGCAACCCATATCTGTGGCAGTTCAAGTTCAGGCTGTGTTACTCATTTGATCCAACTTCTAGCTTATGTACCTGAGAAGGTAATGGAAGATAGTCCAAGTACTCATGGTGCGAAAAGACCAAGATGAAGTTCCTGGCTTCTGGCTTCAGCCAGGTCTGGACTTGGCTGGCTGGAGGGCCATTTATGGAGTGAACCAGCAGAAGGAATGTGTCTGACTCTCCCTCTTTTTGTCTCACCAGTTGTGCTTTTCAAATAAGTAAATCTTAAAAAAGAAAAAAAAAAAAGCAAAAATAGCCTTCAGTCTCAACAATAACTCCATCAAATTTAAGCAGTGATATCAGCTATTTAATCCATCCCCTAAGAAAACTGAGGGTACTGGGAATTTAACCATGTCAGGTTACATTAAATAAAGAAAAATAGATACATTTAAGATTATAAGGTTAGGAAACATAAGGAGCACAATTTGGACTGCAGGGTAGATGTAGATGTCTAAAATCTTCCCATCAGAACTTTTGCAAAATCTTATTCGAAGAGAAATTAGTAGCACTATTGTGGAGGAAGATGTCTAGAGAAACTTTCCCACATGTTTTTCTACTAAAGTTTTGGCTTTATCATAATATTCATTCTTACTAAGCAGATGTTACCATTCTTTGGCTCTCCAAAATTAGCAAGCAAAATTCCTTGAACATCCCACCCCCCCAAAAATGAGGGTCTAAATGAGTCCTAAGTCCGAGAAAAGTGAGACACAGCATCTTTCCTGTGAACTCGGGGTTTCCCTAGGTGGAGTTCTCAGAGTGAGATGCCAGCAACTATCCATTCCTTTCACTTCCTCCTTCTCCGCCTCTGTGTATGAATGTGTTTGTGTGTCTGTCCTGTCTTTGTTATGTTACATTAATTGTACCAGAAGAGTTTTATACTCATCCCAGTGTGGAGGTGGTGGTACAGGTGTGAAGATAAATGGGAAGATGATGAGAAACTATTTCAGAAAGGCTTGTGATGCAACAAAAATGACTAGTGAGTAAAAAGTGTTTGCAGCAGCATTATTCACAATAGAAAAAAGAAGCAGCCACCTGTTCTTCAGTACTTGAGTGGACAGACAAAGCATGATGTGCCCATTCGGTGGGCTGTTACATAGTCATAAAGAGAAAGTCCCGATGCATAATGAAAACTATGCTAAGTAAGCCAGACTCAAGGAGAAATATAAGGTTTCACTTACATGAAATATTTGGGATAAGTAAATTCATGAGACAGAACATAGGTTGGAAGTTAATGGACTTGAAGGAATCTTTCAAAATATTCAATTTGAAAATATTTGTCTTTTAAATGTATTTAGCACATCAACATTTTTTGAACACTAAGTTTATAAATCATTTTCTGCTTTCTCGTTGGTCTGCTGTTCCTACATTTCTTTTTCTCTCTTTTTT